CTCAGACCCGTCCAGCTATAGGCCTATCGCGATCACCTCCTTGTTCTCCAAAATAATGGAATCCATTATTAACTGCCAGCTCATCCGGTACCTTGAGGATCACCAGCTGATTAGTGACCGCCAATACGGTTTTCGTCGGTGTCGATCAGCTGGTGATCTTCTTGTCTACCTGACCCATAGATGGGCGGAGGCAGTAGAGTCCAAGGGGGAGGCGTTGGCCGTTAGTCTGGACATTGCGAAGGCCTTTGATCGGGTTTGGCACAAAGCGCTTCTTTTAAAGCTGCCTTCCTATGGGCTTCCCGAGAAATTGTGCAATTGGATCACCAGCTTTCTTGCAGATCGGAGCATCAAGGTCGTTGTAGACGGTGCATGTTCTGACTACAAGCCTATTAACGCTGGTGTTCCACAAGGCTGTGTGCTATCACCGACGCTGTTTCTTCTGCATATCAATGATATGTTGCTAACTGGTAACATTCATTGCTATGCGGATGACAGCACTGGTGATGCTCTATACACCGGCCGGGCCAATATTTCTCGGGAAAACGTCGCCGAGTACCGGAACAAACTTGTGTCTGAAGTCGAGTCTTTGCTGGACAAAGTCTCGGATTGGGGGCGACTAAATCTAGTCCAGTTTAATCCTCAGAAGACACAAGTTTGCGCGTTTACCGCTAAAAAGAACCCCTTTGTCGTATCTCCTCAGTTTCAAGGCACTCCCCTTCTTGCCTCAGCCAGTATCGGTATCCTCGGAGTCGACATATCGAGTGACGTGCAGTTTCGTGGTCACTTGGAAGAGAAGGCCAAATTGGCCTCTAAAAAGCTTGGCGTGCTCAGCAGAGCGGGACAGTATTTCATGCCGGCACACCGCCTGCAACTTTACAAGGCGCAGGTTCGGCCTCACATGGAATACTGTTCCCATCTCTGGGCAGGGGCTCCCCAGTGCCAGCTCCTTCCACTTGACCGCATCCAGCGCAGAGCGGCTCGAATCGTCGACGACCGAGCCCTTTCCGATCGGCTCGATTCATTGGCGCTGCGAAGAGATGTTGCATCTCTTTGCATTTTCTTTCGCATCTACCATGGGGAGTGCTCTGAGGAATTGTTCGGATTAATCCCAGCCGCCAAATTTCACGAACGAACATCGCGGCAGAACTCCCGATACCATCCACACCATCTGGATGATTGGCGGTCCACCACTGTGCGATTTAGAAGATGTTTTCTTCCTCGCACAACTTCCTTGTGGAATAGTTTACCACCAGGGATTTTTCCGGACCGATACGACTTAGGGACCTTCAAGAAAAGAGCCTACTCCTTTTTAAAAGGCCGGCAACGCATCTGCAATTCCCCTGGTGTTGCGGTTGTTCATGGGCGGCGGTAGTCACTTACCATCAGGTGAGCCGCATGCTCGTTTGCCCCCTCTCCTATAAAAAAAAAAAATTTAAAATTAAAACATATTAGCGTGTATTCAAATTTAACGCTTGGAACAATTAGTGAAAGTGGTTACGGCGAAGGAATTTTGAGAACTGTTGTTACCGATGGTAATAGAAATGTTGTTGGGGATGATAGTGTACCTGGTGGTAGTAGCGTATGTGGAAATACTGGGGAAGGTGGTGGTACTGAAGATGGTGGTGGTGGTAATATCAGTGTTGCGGGTGTGGGTATTTCATCAGCTAATGAGCCGGCAAATAAGGTTCAACGCATGATGTCATCGTACCTACCCAAGAGACTCTCATAAAATTAATAGCTTACGATTGTCAACCATTTTCAATCGTAGATGACCTTGGATTTAGAGATTTTGTACGTGCTTTAAATCCATCATATGAATTGCCAAGCAGGAAGTCAATATCTTCTTCAATGTTGCCAGCGTTTTATGAAGAACGAAGGCAATATTTTAAAAATTATGTTAAAGAAAACGCGGAAAGTGTATGTTTAACGGTTGACTGCTGGTCATCCAGAACTTTGGACCAGTATATGGGCGTTACAGCACACCTCTTTTCTAAGGAATTAGAAATTAAATCAATTTTATTGCAATGTGATCTTCTTGATGGGAACCATACGGGAGCAAGGATTGCACAAGAGTTAGAGGCAATAGGAGAAGAGTGGGGAATATCGCAAAAATATTTTTTATTGTATCGGATAATGCCGCCAATATGTTAAGAGCGTGTACATTATTAAATTGGGACCATTTTGGCTGCTATGAACATAAATTGAATTTAGTTGTACAGGATGCCTTACACACAAATAAAGAAACCTTGGAGAAAGTAACTAAAACTGTGACTTTTTTTAAAAAGAGTTGTAATGCAAAAGAAAAATTACTAAAATATCAACTTAACAATCAAAATATTCCACAGCCTAAAACGGTCGTAAAAGCAGTTCCCAATAGGTGGAATTCTACTTTTTTAATGTTGGAATGATTTCACGCCCTAAAGGAAGCCCTTCAAGCAACAATTGCGACAATGAATGTTTCGCTGCCTGTAATCCCTAACGAGGAATGGGAATGCATTGAGCAAATGTGCTGGGTTTTAAAACCTTTTTATGAAGTAAGCAATGTTATGAGCGGAGAAAACTACTTAACCGCGAGCACTGCCCTAGTGCTGTCTTCAAGTTTGATGTCCATATGTGACAATCTATCAGTTAGAAATTTGTACCCTCCCGTCCTCGCTATGTTATGCAAATTAAAGGAAGGATTGGTTCAAAGGCTTGGCGGTATTCATCATAATACGGCGATAGAAATGTGTACACTTTTAGATCCACGGTATAAAGATATAGCGTTTTCGGACGATGTGGCTCTAACAAACACAAAAAGGCACGTGTTGACATTAATGCAAAATATACAGACAGACGACGATTTAAGTGCTACAGCGAGTGAAAATGAGCAAATTGGATCTCCAAAGCTATCAATATGGGGTGAATTTGATTTGAAAATCAAACGCTCAACTGCGCCTAAAACAGCCAGGACCAAAGCCATGGAGGAACTTGACATATTTTTAAAAGAAACGGTTATTTCCAGGACAGCATGTCCATTGTCATGGTGGCGGACGCATAAATATATATACCCAGTTTTGTATCAAATTTTTAAAACTCGATGTAATATTATGGTCACTTCAGTTCCCTGTGAACGTGTTTTTTCGAAAGCTGGGTACATTATAATTGATCGAAGGACAAGACTAACCACGGCTAAAGTGGCACAAATAATGTTTCTGAACATTAATAAAATATAATAAATACGTAATCATGTCTAAAATAAAATAAAAATAATATTAAACGAAAAAATATAAAACATTTATATATGAAATGTAAATACTAGTAACCTAATAATCATTGTAAATAATAAAAAAAATATTGTAAATTATTGTTTATTATTATATATACTATTAAAGTATGAAGAAATGTTTATTGAATAAAAATTTATGCGTAAAATAAAAGCAATAAAAGTAACACAACTGATTAAAAATAAAGGCTTAGCTTTCCATTGACGTCAGTGGAGTTTGGTGTTGATACGTATTTTTACAGAAAGATTACACTATTATAAGCACACACACAACGTCTCATTATACGGAAACGCGTAATTTTTGAGAAAAGAATAATTGAAAATCAATTATTCTTGCAATGTTTATGTCTAATCTGCTAATAAACTGGCGCCATTTTGTAATGTCATTGTCGACGTCAATAGGGATGTCGATTCTTTCCGAAAAAGGTCGATTTTTAAATCGATTCAAATCGTAAGCTTATGTATCGGTTCACAAAAAATCGATTTCTAAAATATCTATATTTTTTTAATGTTTCTATTTATAATGTAAATATAAACCCATTTTATGAAAAACAAGAAAGATACCATGATAAATTAATGATCTCTTATTGAAATTTGTTTTATTTAACAGTACCTATTAGGGCAGGTAACAAATAAAATAGGTTAGGTTCAACTTATGTCAAAGAACCGAATTGATTGACCCCGACTCCACCTGGTATGAGTCTGTCCTACCCCTAGAGTGGTTTTATAGAGCCGGAGGCGCGTAGGGGGAGCAGCCTCCGCCTGCTGTAACAAATCGTAGGCATCGGACGAGCCGGAGCGGCTGAGGCTGGTCGCCGAAGGCGACCAACAAGCTGAAGCTGCGGAGGCGAGGAGGGATGCCTGCGATTTGTTACGCTAAGGCGTAGAGGTTGCTCTTCCCGCAGCGCCGGAGACGTAGCAGTCTCAAAATAGATACAGAAATCCTTATGAATCAGTCCCCTTATTTTTTTATGATGAAGGGGATTTTTTTCTCATAAAATGGATTTATATTTACATTATAAATGCAAACATGAAAAAAATATCGATATTTTAGAAATCGATTTTTTGGGAATCGATACATCCACTTACGATTTGAATCGATTTAAAAATCGACCTTTTTCGGAAAGAATCGACATCCCTATTAACGTCGACAATGACATTACAAAATGGCGCCAGTTTATTAGCAGATTAGACATAAACATTGCAAGAATAATTGATTTTCAATTATTCTTTTCTCAAAAATTACGCGTTTCCGTATAATGAGACTTTGTGTGTGTGCTTATAATAGTGTAATCTTTCTGTAAAAATACGTATCAACACCAAACTCCACTGACGTCAATGGAAAGTCGTACCAAAATAAAAATTCAATACAAAAGTAAGTAATATTTTTAACTGTTAATTTTATCTGTTAAAAAAAATTAACAAATAACTTTTAACAAATAAATAAATTTAACCATTAACGCCATGTCCACAGAGTACTTCTTTCACTGACTTAGAAGTATGACTCATGACTTCTTTTCTTATAGGTACCTGTTCAATTGTCATTGTCAATAACAATTGTGAAACGTCAAAGTCATAGATAAGAGTGGTCAAAGTCAAAGTAGGTATGTCGTCTGTATGTCATAGGAAAATAACATCGTTTGTTCAAGTTGATGATTCACCCAACAAACAAACTAGAAAAATAGTGTCTTATTTGAGTTAAATTGTGATATTCATCTTAAGGTTAAAAAGAAAAATGTTTTCATCAACTCCAAACTACACTAAACTAAAAACTCACTTGAGACTTGCTGTAAATCGTCTCAAACTCATTGAGAAAAAGAAAACTGAATTAGCTCAAAAATCCCGTAAGGAAATTGCTGAATATATAGCTGCTGGTAAAAGTGAAAGGGCGAAAATTCGTGTGGAGCATATTATTAGGTATTTTGGTTACTCAAAATTTAGATCTGCATGTTGCTAAGTATAATTTTATTATTACCCATACTGTTCTTTGTTCTTAGGGAGGATTATATGGTGGAAGCAATGGAGATTGTGGAAATGTACTGTGATCTAGTATTAGCAAGATTCGGGCTTGTTACCACAATGAAAGAATTGGATGAAGGCTTAGCTGAAGCTATATCAAGTCTTATTTGGGTGGCTCCACGAATGCACACTGATATACAGGTATTCAATATTCATATTAATAATGTGGAAGGTCTTTAGAAGTGTAAATCCTGCAGAAAGGGGATTTTGAGGAGAAAAAAAAAGCTGACATTGTTGTGGGGACATTGAAGAGAAGATCCTCCAAGGGCAAATAAAAACGCATAATTTATAGTGGATCACTCCTAACTTTTTTAACTTGTAAGCCTCAGATGATGTAAGAAGCCCATCCCTTCTGTTGAAGTGCTAAATATGTTATTCTGGATCTATTTAGACATTGCAACTAGAACATAATGTTATTTCCCAATGATATACTAGTAATACAAATTTATACTATATAACTAATAACTATAAGTTCAAAAGGTAGACTGTATGTTAAAGTTAGTAAAGTGATGAGTTTCACACTTTAAACACTACCTAGAGAAAGCAATCAGGATCTAAAATATTGTTACCTATTTGTAGACATATTGCTTTGGAAGATGTAATTTTATTCAGGATCATGTCTATGCTTTTATCTTGGAAACACTGTTCATAAACAAATTTTAATTCCTATATTCAACACAAGATACAAGGTTATTTTTAATAAATATAAATATATAAATTAAATTACATAAATAAAATAATCTTAATAGTAGATATTTATATTTAATTATTAACTAAAATCTTCAGAAACAAACTTAAAATTTGTGAAATATGAATTATCCAGTTTCCACTGTCTTTTGTACTTTGATCAGGAAGAAAGTACAAAATGCATGTTCCTCAATATGTTGGACAGTAGTTACTGAGCAGTAATTAAACATAATGGAATTTATCATCATCATTACATCCCATCAAAATCCACTACTGAACATAGGCCTTCCCAAAAATAGCCTCATATGAGGGTTGGTTACCACAGTTGCTATGCTTGACAGTCAGGTTGGCAACTAAAGTTTTTTATTTCTAGTTGTTATTAGGAAGCTCTGCGGGAGCCATTTTCCTTGTTTGACACTACATGGATGTTTGTGTTTTATTAAATTGTTGTTTCTAATAATCAACAAGAATAAGTGAAGCACAAGGTCAACAGAAGTCAAAGTTGTGATTTCAAGATATTATACAATGACTGCCCGGGCACATGTTTTTTTTTATTGCTGGGTATGTTTTTATTTATTTTATGAAAATGATTATATAAACACAATCATATCACAATACCTAAAAGCTTCCTAATGGATTAGACTGGGTTTTTCAAATATTGTTGATATAATCACTTCTTGTTATCACTAAATGTTATTATACTTTGAAAGAATTTTTTGACGATAAATAATGACAAAGAAAGAATACTTCGACTATATTATATTTCTAATTTAAGTAATTTATATAGAATAATATTGAATGTTGACGATACGATATTATATAATTTATGTTTAAAAGTTAGATTATACAAAAATAGTTAGTCCTCTAGTGTTGCTATGCCCTTGCAGGGCGTCACATGTATACCTATCAAATGTAACATCTTAAATTTGTAATATGGCATGCAATAAACAATTTGAATTTGAATTCTTGTTAAAAGTACAAAAATCTTTTGTTTTTAGGAACTGAAAGTGATTTCAGATTTGCTCACAGCAAAATATGGCAAAGTTTATGCTGATGCATGCAGAACTGAGAGTGTAAATACTATCAGTGAGAAATTGAAACACAAGATGTCAGTCCAAAGTCCACCTAAAATACTTGTTGAAAGGTATCTTATAGAAATTGCAAAAAATTACAATGTTGAATATACACCCGATGAACATGTCATGAAAGAAGAAGAGGGTTAGTAAATTATAAAAGAATTCTTTTATTATGGTATCAGTTAAGGTAACATTTTTGTAAATTCATGTCGGTTAACGGTTTAATGCTTAATATATGAAATCATTAATTGCTATACTTAGCTAACAAATCGACAATGATCAATGACTAACTGCTGCTGGTTCTGACATATATCAGATTCATTTTCTACTATCAAAAGACATTTAAGGGAGGAGAGTGGAGATGTGTTATTTTATGCTGATGCATCATGTCATATTGTCCTAACTTAGAGTGTCTTCGAATCAAGCAGTGGACTATTCATAACGTAATGATGAAATTTTTTGTTGTTTTAGGTCGAGATGCATTGCTCATTGATATCAATGGGCCTCCTGGGCCTCCGGGCTTCATAGGCTTTCCACCGCAACCATCCATGCCACAGATGCCTAACTTACCACAATCAAACATGCAACCCTTCAGTTATCCTTCTGTAAGTTACTACTTAAGAGCCGTGGGGCTAAAGCTCTCCATAAATTACAGTGTGTGTGCAACCCGGGTTTCATCCCCGCCAGCTTCAATTAAATTGTTGATTGCAATTTTAAGGTGTTGATTTACCACGTACTCAGCAGTGAGGAAACCTGCAAGTGTAAGAAAAAAAATACTTTGAGGTCATATTAAGTGCAATAATACTGGAGTAGGGTGGGGGACTAATTGCAGCATAACGCATCAAAAATATGAAGAGGCCTTTGTCCAGCTGTGGGACCTAAATAGAAAATATTGACAAGGATTTATTCCAATACTTAAAAAACACACATCTAAGGGGACATCACTTCAAATTAACCAAAGCTTTGTCAAATAATAACCCACACAAGCACTTTTTTAGCCAAGAAGCCATCAGAAGTAATATCTGCAGAAACTATTAACCAATTCAAGCACAGATTAGATAAACAAATAAAATAGAATAATTACACATTTGAAAATAGGATACAGGCTTATATCAGTTGTTGTAACTGCTGGCCTGTTAAGTAATAATAATAATAATAATAATAATATTTTTAATAATAATTTTTAATAATAATATTTTTTTCCCTTTCCCCCTAACCCTCGGCCGTTTGGTCTCCCCTGCCGAGGGCTTCCATCTGGTTGGGTTTTTATTTATTTATGTATTTTTTATGCATTTATTTTATTTTGTTGATATTTATGTATGTTTATCATTTTCATTTACAATTATATATTTATACAGCCCAACCAGATGAGTAAACTATATAGATGCCCCAAAAATAAATAGTTTAAGGTGGAAGCTCCAGAACTGAGAGTGTAAGTGAGTGTAAATGAGTTTTTCTGGAAAAATGCATTCAAAGGGCTAATATGAACTTACAGGGTTGTATTGGTGATTTTAATGATAATAATTCTCGCGAATCATATTTTGTTAAATATACAACCTAACCCTGACCTGCAAATTCCAAAAAACGCAAGAAAATTTGAATCTCGCGGGCCACCCTGGAGCTTCCACCTTAATGTCAAGACGGCCAGTGAGAGACTATCTAGACAGGATTATAGTGCACAAAAGTGTGCAAAAGCACAGGTCTATCCTCACTCACATAGTCTAATTGACACTTCTTGTGGCGCGGGGTTGATACACTGTTAACTTCCCGACTCTGGGCTACTACTGAGTATTTCTTGGACCTTATGATCAGCAACCGGGTTTATGACCATCAGACAACGAGACAGCAGTCTCAAATGAAGGACATATAATTGGTGTAACAATACAACTTTTGAAAATATTTGGGAGCTATGGTTTCTATTTCATTTAAAATCATACATAGTTCCAGCCAGTAATTCTGAAAGAAATCGGTGGGAATTCCGCCCCAGATTTCTAAAGTTGTGGACTCTTTTTTTTAGATATGGTAAAAATTAGACAACCATAACATTGGTCATAGGCATGGTAATTTAATGTTGCTTCTCTGTTTGTCCCATGAACACAGTTTTTTTATGATATTTTCAATTTGAGGGATAGTTAAAAAAAGTATGTAGTTCAATCTATGAATTTCAACAACAATCTATATTAGAACCTTGTGGAATATTTAGAGACGATGACAAGGGACTCGACGCGACGGTATGACTGGTCCCTTGGGAGAGAGGTAAAGCCCTAGTGTGGGATGCTACTTGCTGAGACACTTTGGTGAGCTCTCGTCTCAAGGGTACCTCGTACAGAGCCAGGGCGGCATCAAAGGCAGCTGAATTAGGTAACTGGCGCGAATATGAGTCTTTGAGACATGACTACATATTTGTGACATTTGCTGTAGATACTCGGTCTGTGGGGTCCACGTGCGGTGAAGTTCCTAAAGGAACTGTATCCACGACTTATCGTCGCTGATGGTGACAAGAGGGCTGGTTCTTTTGTCGCTCAAAGGCTAAGTATAGGCAATCAGTGAGGAAATACAGCCAGCATTCTTGGTACAATATCACGGGGAGTAGGACTGTATGACAATTTAACTTTTTACCTTTAGTTTTTCTTTTTATTAGAAAATAGTTTATTTTCTAAAAATTTGTGTGTAACCTTTAAGTTAGATTTAATTTTATATTATGTTATAACAATGTAAACAAATAAATATTTTGAATTCAATCTTTTTAACATGGTAACACCATTGAAAAATTTTATGTCATAAAATTAAATTAAAACTAATAAAAGAGTAAATTCGAACACTACATAATATACATGCTTTATTGTTATAAATTTATTTTTTCTTCTAGCAACCTTCTGGTGGTAAAACAGGTGGATTTATAGCTACATCTCCCCAAAGTTATGGAGGTGGCCCAAGTAATGCACCAATGAACTATAACTATAATATTCCCCCTGGTCAGGACTCGCAAAATTTGAGCAACAGTTTTCTTCAGGTGAGTTAAAGTTTTAGTTTTAGCAACTTTATGTACAATTTTATTTTTCCATATCTGTCCAATAGAATAGATCCATTGAACTCTTTTTAATATTGATTATTTTTGTATTATTGGTAGTATTACTCAAATTAGTTGTTCTCAAGACTATTTTGTGATAAAAGCACTGTAATGTATCCCATATTTTGCGATAGTATCCACATATATGTCGCCATTATTCGCCATGTATATTTCGTTTGTACATTGTACCATGTACATTGGGAATGTTCAAAGGAGTAACTGCTTGTGTCTTTCAGCGTTCACTTGTAGGCCTGTTACATTTGATACCTGTTTTTGGACCAACAAAGTAAGAAAGACTGAATACTATGTACGAGGCGTGATCCAAAAGTAATGATAATGAATTTGAAACACGGTGATTACAGTTAAAAAAATAATTTATCTTTCTGCTTCTCTTAACAAGTTAATGCATTTACTCCATCATTTTTCTAAACACATAATTATCTTGGAAAAAACTCTGTATCTTGATCCTCCCAAAAAGCCTCAATGTCGTCCATCAATATCAAATTTCTTGCCTCGAAGGTGTTCCTTGAGCCGAGGAAATAGATAGAAGTCACTGGGAGCTAGATCTGGCGAAATAGGGCGAATGTTCGAGCAGTTCAAATCCCTTTTCTTAAATGGCAGACATCGCATCTGCGGCCTTGTGTGTCGGAGCGTTGTCTTGGTGAAACAGCACTCCAGCTCTCAGTTGACCGCGTAATTTTTCCTTAATAGCCTCCCGCAATCTACTTATTTCGCCTGCGTAGTAGGAGCCCGAAATGTCCACCATAGACCTGAAATATCCTTCCTTTTCCAAATATTCCACCATAGTAATTTATCTTTCTTTCTCTTTTTATCAGTCCGTAAAAGGCCAATGCACACATTTGTAGCTAAAACCATGTTATTGGTTGGAAATGATTTTACGTCACTTGTAATTACCTAGTGTTCCAGCTATCTTTCTTTGTTGGTCAGAAACTGAAGTAAGGGCATAGTTGATCATTTTAGAAGTTAGATACTAAATGTGCTCTGTATAATTTTATAAAATTTTGTATTCTTCTTAGGAGGCTATTTTCAGCAGTGGATTTTTGAAGGGCTGTAATGATGATGATGATTTACTTGTCAACCTGCATTTACTTGGGATGGCCCACGTCCTGCTATGGATTTGAAGTGGCAAAGGCTGTTGTGATAATGTGATTTCAGAGTTGTCACTATGGTTAAAAACCGCACCCACTTTTTAACCATTTTATGGCACATTTTGTTAATTTATATAAAATATTTAAGTCAATGCAAATTACGGGTAATTAAATTGCAGCAGTTATGTTACATTTACAATATCATATTATACTGGGCACAGGCCTCCTCATATTTCGAAAGGTTTATGGAACACTGATTTGAACACCGCGCTGTGCCGTACCATACGTGTATGCAGACTATACCTTCTCAAGAAATATATCATTTCTCAGATATGCCGGTCTTCTCACGATGTTTTCCTTCACCTTCGAGTATGTGGTACTTAAAATTGCAATTAATATTTCATACGTGCCGGAGCCGTGGTAGCTCAGATGGTTAGCGCTCGCTGTAAGCTTCACAGTAAGCGAGCAACCCGGGTTCGATCCCCGCCGGCACCAATGAAATTGTTAATTTCAATTTTAGGTACTGATTTACCACGTGCTCGGCGGTGAAGGAAAACATCGTGAGGAAACCTGCTTGTCTGAGAAATAAGAAAAAAAATATTTCAAAGACGTGAAGTTCGTTAACACGCATTGGGGCAGCGCGGCGGACATTTCCTTGTCATAAAACCCTCTCAGAAATGGGAGGAGGTCTGTGCCCAGCAGTGGGACGTAAATAGGCTGTAAAAATAATTAGGAAAACAAATATTAAAGCTTGCTTACGTGCTATGAAATTTACAGTGAGCGCTTAGTTAGTGAGCTGGTAGCTTTTTCATGTATTGTGTTAATAGTCAAATAGAACTAGTTTTACGTTTTATAGTTTTTGGTCTTGTTTCATCTGTTTATTTTTCATTTATTATGTGTATATGTCATAAGCATGTACCCACGAGATTATACCGTATTACATGATTGAATAATAAATTAATTAAGATTTTAATGCTTTTCATGCATACTAGATGCACTACAAAGTTATCGTTTCTTTTTACAGGAAGAAATGAATAACCTCCCACCTGCTTATGACAGCATTGCCCACGATATGGTAATTTGTTGTTATTATTTTTTAGATATTTGCATGCTTTAGTTTCATAGTCATTAGAGTTTTTAAGTATATGTAACAAGATATACAGCGTAGACACCATTTAGAACATTTATCTAGGTGTTGCCTTTATTGAAAAATATTTATAAGAAGACAGAAGTAAACAATCTTCTGTCTTTTTTTCTTATAAATATTTTTCTAAGCAACGTGTACCTGGTTGCTCTTTATGCTAAAAGTTGTTGAAAAAATGTCCGACTAGGTAAGTCCAACTTTGATCAAAAGCTCACTCGACGGATCCAAATCGGCTGGGCAGCGTTCGGCAGATTAAGACACATCTCGTCACGAATTCACAAAATCTTGAAGTATAACGAGCGCGTGTTGCCAGTGACGACGTGGAATTTATTCGTGGTAGAGCCACGCTGCAACTTTAGATGTAGATGTCTATATGCCACAGCATCCATTTACCGTCAGGTGCTTGTTTGACACCTTAATTCTATAAAAAATAGAAACTGAGACATGGTCCTTCCCTGCCGGCCGTATGAGGAAGCTTAAGGTCGCTCAGCAAGCTAAAAGAGTGGGCTGTGCTCAGAGTTTTAGATCATAGAATCCGTTAAAATGTTGTTCGCAGCAAAACTGGAGTAACAAACACAGTCTAACGGATCAGTAAGCTGAAGTGGGTGGATATATGTTTAGGCTATTCCATGATGAAAATAAAGATTATTATTATAGAGATGTAAAATTGAATAAAATTATGTACTTTTACAGAGTGCGCTCACATCCTATCAATATTCAGGTTGTCCCGAAACTCAACGTCAAGCGGGTACGGGGCGATAAGCTAGGGTTGTACTAGTTCTAGCAAAAAAATTCCATGTTTTCCTTGCTTAAGTGAAAATGTTGAAAATCACCCATCAAGACCCTAGTTCACATATTTAGGTACTGTGATCACAAATTTCTAAATTATTCAGTGTTTTTTTTTTAAATTTAATCCTTAATAACTATGCTATTGATTGCAGTCACAAATCTGGTAATTAAAATTGTCAGTTTAGTACTAAAAATAAAGTTTAATTAAGTCATGGTTAAAAACGTTTTAACACAACTTTGACGCCTTGTCTTTAATAAAATTCTAATATTCTACCGTAGGCAATTTGTTTTAAATAATTGCCCATTTAATTAAGATTATAAAATAGTACAACACTTGCTACTTATCTTTCCATAAAAATATTATTTGCATATTTACATCTAAAAGGACTTAATTTCAAACTTTTTTGTTGCAAAAGGATTTGCTTTATTATTGTGTGAGCGAGACAGATAGGCGTGATAGAGTGAGATAGAGAATGAAGCTGTTCAAAGTGCAATAGAGATAGACTAACATTTTGTTTGAATACATGATTACATTTAAAAAACCCTGAAAAATTTAGATTTTCAACATTTTCAAAAGTATACCTATTATCACTTAACAAAGTAACATGGATTTTTTTTGCTAGAACTGGTAGCTTATCGCCCTATACACGCTTGACGTTGAGTTTCGGGACAGTCTGTATATCAATACATTGAAAAACTTTTTGAAATTACCGTAATGCATCCTAGCAGGCAGCTAGCACGAGTTATCACGGCTCGTATATTTTATATAAAATTAATTTTATTTGCAGCCGGCACACGTTCCGACACCGCAGCCGCGTTCGAAAATGCCTACTCATAACTTATTCCCAGAGTTGCCTGAGTTGCCATCCGTCCCTTCGGACTTACCATTGCCTTCCGTACCACACAGCAACAACTCGAACACGTCTAATAACACTCAAGACTCCGGTGGACCCGACGAAATCGACTTCGAAGACCTTAATCGACGTTTCGAAGAATTGAAAAAGAAAAAATAATTCGCGTCGCAAATTAAATATTTAAAACTATATCAAAATATTTTGTTGTTTTATGAGAATCTAAGTCTATATCATAGTATAATTAAGCGCCTTACGCACGGTCCATCTTGCTGTACATCACGCCAAGTAAGAGATGCTGGACGTAGCATACACTGTTGTATGTTCATCTACATCTAGCGCGACATAAGGGAGTTTTATAGCCAACGATAGCATTGATTTACTTTGTAAAATGATGAATGCGCTGTACAACAAGCATTACGATCGTATGTCCGGGCTATTCATTAACATGACACGAAAAGTAATCGGATGACCCGCTTGATGCAAAATGGGTTCAACGTTTCCACTAAACAATAATCAATAAATATATTACGTGTCAAGGCTATTTATTGTCGTTATTCGTCATGCTTCGTGCAGCAATATAGACAGATCCCTCACAAATTTTAATTCTTTATATTATCATGCTATAGTTTTTTTTTTAATTAAAGAATAATTAATAACTAAGTAGTGACCTCAATAGGGATTTCCAATTCTTCATTGTACGTTTTCATAGTATCACTTCTTTACTTCGATCAAAATGAGACTAATTTAAATATTTTTTCTGCAAAGTGAAATGTAAACATTTATAACTTTATACAAAATTCGTAATATACAAATAGCATGAGCCGCAAGAGTCTAAAACCATAGAAAAAATGTGTCCTGACATGAAAAAGTCTACCGAGTCAGAGAGAGTAATTTTGTATTTTTAATATTTTTCTATCGTTTTATCAAAATCAGCTTTTTTACGTGAATCTCTATAAAAATGGATATTTTTTTTTAAAGTGGGCTGGATGTATTAATTATCAAATTTTATTTTGTCAGTTAAAAGAAATTATTGCTCTAAAGAAAAAACAAATTACAACATGAATAATGTTAAATGTAAACTTTTCCATCAAAAAAATTCAGCGAATCGCATAATGTGATATATATCATGCAATTAAAAGTATATTCAAAATGTTTCACTGTAATCTATTTCCGAACTGTATATGTATTATGATAATATGCTATTTCCAGTTAGATTCAAAGACGTTGCAAATGTTGTACAACTTGATAAGTGCATTTTCTTCAAAATTATTCACACTTTTTAAATTTAAGGATTATCCGACCTTATTTACAATGGTTTATTATAGCTTACTTAAATATTATTTATCTCGACACCCGTCTCTTTCTATTGTCATTTAGTGAAGAGATAGGATTTTTTTTAACATTTATTAAATTGACGTTGATTTTTATGAGTAAGGCCGATGATTCCCTAATTACCGCATAAAATAGCTACTCTACACTAGTTAAATATGTGAAAACTTCTTTTTAACGTTTTTATGAGCTTGTACATGATATGTATGTAATACTGTTACACAACCTATTAAAGACCACCATTGAACATAGGCTTCCCCTATAATTTGCCTGGTATGGGATATTTTTCATTGTTATCACGCAAGCGGGTTTGGCGGTTTTTTATTTTTAATTGTCATTAGGAAGACACTGCTGTCCATCTCCCGATTTGTTTCCCTCTGTCGCCTCTTACGACACCCACGGTATGATACGGGGTAGTGGATATTATTACACCTCCACTACACGCGGTTTATATGTATGTAATGGAACCACTTAATTTACCCACTTCCGGACGTGTAAATAGTCTGAAATTTCCACACGTCTTAAGAACGAGGACAATAAAATAATTTTATGACTGACCTATCACCACAGTCAGTGCTCACGATCGATGTGTTGTAGATTTTTTAACTGTAATTATTAATGTTATAGATAGTGTATAATATATTATATAAAGATATTTATGAACTTTGTTGTCTCAATGAGGTTATACAGAAGTAACGGCGAAAAAATTACTGATAATATTTTTCTTTTTCATTGATACCAATCTCTACACAGGGTTATTTTTCAGAGCAGCCAAATTTTAAACTTAAGTTCAAATTTACAAATAATAATATACCGTTATTGCAGTTTTTTAAAATGCTAGTAAATAAGACATCTATTTATATTTAAAATTATCCCAAATTGAATGTGATTTATGGGCAACAACTACGCGTACGCGCGTTCCTCTGTGTACGATTCAATTCACATTTTTCCGACCGATCGACCCTTACGAATGTGTGCGTGCGCAGTAAAATAGTAAGCGTTAGATATTTATGAATGACAGTTAAAGTAATGCATTGATACGCATTTTTAATTGACAGAACGTATGAGATTTTTTTATACTAATTTTTCTTCACCGTTTCACCTTTCTTCACAAGTAATATAGGCACTGAACCTTCTCTGCAAATTTGGCAGATTATTGCAAAATAACCCTGTATATAAAAATCAATTGCTGTCCGTTAGTCTAGCTAAAACTCAAAAACGGCTCGGCCAATTTTGATGAATTTTTTTGTGTTGTTAAGTTCCTAGATGGTTTAGATCCACAATAAGACTTGATAGGTGGCGCTGTTGTCGAGATTCAGAATTCACCTGTGCGAAGCCAAGGTTAATCGCTAATATAATATATAACAAGATCATAAGAAACAAAATAACACACTTTTATGATGATGATAAATAATGAAGCTTTAAAATATGTTATTCCACATAATATGTATGTATTTCAAGTGTTCTGGTTTTGTCAGTAGGCAAATGTAAAATATTATCACAGATCATTTCCATAATACTCGAACAAGGCTAAAGGCAAGCTTGAAACATTTTTGCGGCGTGTATTAAATAAATACTTTTATTTAAGCATATTTTTTTACTTCGAATATGTAAAGAAAACCCTGTCCGATCCTAAAGGGGCGTTATTAGTGAATATAAAAATGTTATTATATGTTTTTAACCACAATTTGCTTAAAATTTTGCACATTTTTAAAATCTGGCAACTGCCGTAGACGAAATTTTTTTAACGTGTAGGTATTGTTACCCGACGTTCGCCCGTGCCGCCGATTTCATGTGCAGGATTATATCACGACACGTAATAGCTCCTCACGGATCAAACAGGTTTTTTTACATATTATAGGTGTAGTGATTATATATAAAATTTGTTGGCATAACATATTAGTTATTTTTCATTTCTAAAATGTATATCATGATGTGTGATATTAATAGAAGTTCTCACATTTATTTGTATTTCTTAAGATAAGTACATAAATAAAATATTTTTATATTTATTACGATTATTATTGCTGTTGTTATCGCTTGTTTACAATGTAAAAAAAAAACAATCATTTGTATTTCATTGTAAATCTAAATAAAATAAATTATGAAAAAACAACTTTTCTCGTATTACAACTACCATTGCGAATATTAAAAGCTATCTAAACACCACATATTGTTTAAAGTGAATATTACTTTATTTCACAAGATAGAATTCAGCGTATTAGGAGTGGTAATGGCTAACAAAATGGCGGACATGCTGTGGCATTACAATGTTAACACATTTATTGATTAGTGGTTTAAGGTTGCAAGACCTTCGTTCATAACAGTTTGACGATCTCTTGAGAGCAAGTTGTGATCTTCTTAAGGTTAGAGTCAGTTGGCGCGCTGGTGCAATCTTTCTTCAGTCTATTGTGCAGTTGAGTGTTTGATACTATTTTCGTTTGTATGAGTAGTTTATGTGGCGATTCTGCTAGCAGAGTTCCTAAGGCAACTAAACCTCTGTAAAAAAAAAAACAACATGATGTCACATTTAGCTTATTACATTCTTATTGTGGCAACATCCATGTGGTGGAATGTATAGATTTATTCTGAATTATCAAACTAATTTACGAATAAAATTTTCCTTTCACCTATTTTAGGTTTATAACATTCAATAACCTCATTCATGTTCATCATTCATGCTCATTAGTTTATCTTTAGTGATAATTCTGAATGGAATGGAATGATAGAATTCTTGATTATTCATTCATTGTTCCTTTTTTTATATGATAAGGGTGATAAACGAGCACAGTCCACCTGATGGTAAGTGGTTGCTGTGGCCCATATACATCTACATCTATCCTAGATTACGAATCATTGTCACCCGTGAGGACAAAGATGAAATGCCTCGTTTCCAGTAAAATGGGGTCACTGGTTCTCTTCACTAATCATATGAAACACAGCAGCGTTAAGTTGCGATTACGATTGTATTCTGTGAGAGCGTGGTCCTCTTCCCCGGTCGAGCCGACCCATTTGTGCTACAACTATACCAGTAATATAGCTGCAGCATGGCTCCACGTAAAGGAATTTGATTTACGCCTTACCGATGAAAGTGTTATAATTTTGATAACTGTACAATGACATTATACAATATTAAACTAAAAATAAACAGTAACACATTACACAGTATAATACGGCCGACGTATCTTGGCGAGTCTGAATATAGGCTCTGCGAAGTTTAGCGCATGAACACTCGTGAAGAAAACTGTTATTGTCATTTTTTTATATATACCAATGTACAAATAAAATTTCCCTAATACAGTGACCAAAAATATCAAAACACTTTGGAGACATTATAAATTAAAGATTCAATTTTGATACCTCACCTTTCGATAGGGGCAGATTTTATCACAAACACATACAATATTATTTACATTTAATACTTTTTATTTATTTACACTTATTATTATTTAATCACTGTCGCTGAGGGGGGAAATTCCTAACATAAAGTCGTCGGCCCCTTGTGTACCATGTGAGGTACTTGGCATAGGTTCATCTTCGTAATCGTCGCTCTCACTTTCAGACTCACTTTCTGAATCTGAAGCTGTATTAATGATGAATAATTGATCCGTCATTTCGTCAATAATATGGTCGCTCTTCCTATAGTCATGTTCGACCTCTTGCACTTTTCTGCATAAAGCACTCCATTCATTCTGACCCATTAAATTTACTTTTTCTTGTATGAGCTCCATTGTCCGGGTTACGTTCCAGTCGACGTTTTTAGCGGCTACGTGCCCTTTAATGGCAGCCCACACCATCTCGATGGGGTTTAAATCGGGATGATATGGGGGTAAACGAAGGACATCGTGGTTGTTTTGTTTAAACATTTCATCTATTACGTATTTTTTATTCACGTCTTTGTTTTTTTTTATTAGATCGTAAAGTTGTGGTTTACGCATGTCCTTTTCATATGGTATACCCTTTTCTAATAACCACGATTCCATTTTTGCCTTCTTGTCATTAGATGTAGGGGCAGGATCCATTAATTTGTTGTGGTACGGAGCATTATCGATAACCACCACCGAGTTAGGGCTCAAATTTGGAATCAGTTGGGTCCGTAACCATTTCTCATAATTTTTGAAATTCATGTCATCATGATAGTCTCCGGTTTTGCTGCCAGATTTGAACATTAGTAGCGCGTTCGGAACAAACCCTGCTTCTGACCCAGCGTGTACCATCACTATCCGCTGACCTTTTGATATCGGGCGCTTTAGTCCTTGAGCGGAACCATCTGACCACGCCTTACCTTTTGTATGTGATGAGTGGGCATACGACTCGTCAGTGAATACAATTGGTCGCCCTTCGTCCCTGTATTTTTTCATTGCCTTCAAGTACAAGATCCTTTTCAGGCGAATGTCGGTCTTCTCTATAAGAACCATTCTATTGGTTTCGGTCTTTCGCCACTTGAAACCCAAGTTTTTGATAATTGTCTTTAAGCTCGTTTTACCACCTTGAAAATTTATATCCCGTTTGAGTTTCGCTAGTAATTTGTTTATCGTCGGCATTTCTTTTTCAGTTTTGTGGAAGTTGTGTATGCATCTTTTTACTACTCCCTGGTCAAAATTATCCATATCAGTAATAGGTTTTGATCTAGACCTTTTTTTACCAGGCGTGCGGAATACTGAAAGTAAGCCCGAAATATTGCCTTCAGTTGCGATCCGCTGTACTGTGCGTTGGGACACACCAGTTGCGTTAGCAACTCTTAAATAAACTTTATCGACATCTTTTACGCCTTCTTCTTTTTCTTTTTTCATATATTGCGTTAAATCGTAAATAATTTTTCTCGCCTGGCGATTTAACACACTGTTATGTTTTGGTGGCATGTTTGGCGAATAATATAAGTGCTAACTGACACTTGCAAATAAAACAAATAAAACAAATAAAACAAACAAAACAAACTTAACACTATTAATAAAAACAAACAACAATAACAACGAAAACTTTTGTAACCGACTGTGCTCAAGACAGAGATAGCGACACGAACACGACACCAATGCTAACGTGTGACTGAGAAATATTACCGTGTACCGAGCATTGCCGAATAAGCACGAAGCTTTACGAAGTAACCAGAAAGGGATGTCCAACACGCGTGCCTGAGGGTGTTGTTTAATCGATTTTTATTCAAATCGATTAAAATTAAGACATAAAAATATATTTATTTGCAATTTATAAGGAGGTTCTAAATTTTCTCAAATAGTCGTTACTCAAGAAGACGTTAATAGATAATTGATATTTAAGTACATTATGTCTTTCAGCTGAGAAAATAATATGTTTTTAGTTTTTTTTTTTTATTTAAGTCGAAATCTTGTTTATTATCAACAAAATTCACTATATTTGTAAATCTATTTCGTTTAATATCTTATATAAACAAAAATCAATAACTTCTAAATAAAACTAATCGATTGCGATATTTTATGACTAAAGGGTCGATTGTGTTTACTTATGGTCAATCTCTAGCCTAGACCACCGCCCCCCGTACGTCGCCTCATGCCACCATTTTGTTCCTTAAAAAAGCTATTGCGCAACCTTCTGCGCGAAGGTCGGACTCGCCAAGATACGTCGGCCGTATTGTACATAAAAAGTATCAATAAATATACAGAGATAACTCTGTTTTTACCTTTCAAAAGAGATACTCAATTATATCATACTCACTTTTTTTATAGGATAGGGTGACAAACGAGCACACAGTCCACCTGATGGTAAGTGGTTACTGTGGCCCATAGACATCTACATCTATCCTCGCATGCGAATCAAAATGCAGATGCGTTGTCACCCGTGAGGACTAAGATGGAATGCCTCTTTTCCAGTAAAAAGGGTTTCAGGTTCTCTACACTCACCATACGTAACACGGCAGTTTTAAACTGCTATTTTACGCTGGTCTTCTGTGAGAGCGTGGTTCTTCCCCGGTCGAGTCGACCCATTCGTGCTACAAGTATACTACTAATATAGCTGCAGCACGGCTCTACCACGTATAAAATCACTTTCTTATTTTATGGTGTTTGTGTAAACTTTTTATGAATTTAAATAATTATATCAATGTATGAAATTAATCAGGAAATTATATAAGCGTTATTACATTTTAACACAGTTACAATTAACACATAAAATCTATCAGTCAAGATGAATGAAGATTCATTATAAATGATTAGAAGAAACTATTAAACTGAGGGGCCATCTTTAAGAAAAGTCTAACAAGTGTTATTTAATACTTTTTTCCATAAAACTGAAGTGACTACGAACTAACAAACTGCAATTCACCTGGTGGTAAGTGGCTACCGCATAGCATCAGCAGACAATTTTGTACAAATAATGCTACAGATGCGTTGTCATCCCTGAAGACTAAGAAGGAATGCATCACAGCCTGTAACTGATTCTAAAAAGAAAATTTTGAGGGACAAAGACCCTTCAGCCCGAAACATAGCAATGCGAGCACTGCTATTTGGCGGCCGAAATAGGTAAGAGGGTAGTAGATAGATCGAATCCTAGCAAAAAAAGGTGTCCTATCACCTTATTTATTATTAAAATATAGTTTAAAAAATTCTATCGCATATATGAAACATAGAAATGTATACCTGAAATAAGCCTCGTTGTCGGTGATTCTATTCAAGAGATGTACTATACAATCGGCTAGGTCTACATTATCTGTTTGTTGTGCCAGAGCTACGGAGAGATTGAGGAGTAAAGAGGCTGCAGCAATCTGCAAAGGCAACGAAATAAGTCTATTTATTCATGAGATGACACGTAATAGATAGTCCACTGTTCTCAGAAAAATAAAGCAAGACAGACTAAACGCTGTGCACATTTCAAGTGACGCTAAAACCATGCCCAACTCCTTGACATGTACGTATGCATATCTAAAGTCACGCGGCTCCATCCATCAAAGTTTTGTAGCAAACACAACAGTTGCCAACAAAACTTGTTTCCATTTTCGGCGGCAACATCAAAGGAATACGCTTGTTGCCAACATTTGTTCCCTCGGTGGAGACGCTTGTTGGAAACAGTTGTAAACCGTTGGAAACAACTGTTATCAACATTTTTGGTGGATACGCGGCTTAAAACCGTATTGCTGCTTGTAAATGATTTTAGATACATGTGTGCGTGTTTTTAACAATAAGTTGAGCATGGGTGTGTCTTGGTCCTGGCGTTACTTCACGCAGCGCTATCTCTGTTGGTTTGGTCTGATAACATATCATCTCTTCTATTTTAAGGAAATATTTATTTTAATCGGCATGTATTACGGCAGATTGTTGATCAGAATAGCATACGCTTGTCAATTTTGCCGCTTCTCCCTTGCCTTGGGGGTATATCACATTTGGCATAATATATGAGATGTCGTGGTGTCGTAGAGAGAGAGATAGTAGAGAGACGTGACAGGGAGAAATTGAGCCATATGATGGGTAACAGCACCTTATCCCGATAACAACTTAATATTTAAAAAACTACAGCTTCTAAACCACTCGCCAAGCGTGGCAACTATCACAAATATTTTTTTTATAGGATAGGGTGATAAACGAGCACACAGTCCACCTGATGGTAAGTAATTGCTGTGGCCCATAGACATCTACATATATCCTCGATTAAGAATCAAAATGCAGATTCGTTATCACCCATGAGGACTAAGATGGAATGCCTCGTTTCCAGTAAAAACGGTCTCCAGGTCTCTACACTCACCATACGAAATGCAACAGCACTAAGCTGCTATTCTGTGAGAGCGTTGTCCTACCCCGGTCGAGAAGACCTATTCGTGCTACAACTATAAAAATCTCCCCTATGAGACAATCTATGGAGAGATTTTAATGAGGTCTTTTTTACTTTTAACGCCATATATTATCATAAATTGCGATCTATCCCGTTTACACTTGTTGGATGTAGTACTCAACAAGAAGATCAGTGCTCAAGGGGCAGAAAACTTTGGACGGAATTGTACACATTTGATACAAAATAATTTTTGTCAGCACCGAAATTTTTTTTAAGTTATATTTCCTAGCGCTGCATGCAAAGCATCATTTATACAATGTAGATTGTAGAGTTTATTACTTTAAATAACTAACACTACCCTCTATACCCTACCCCTAGATCTAATCCATCACAATTTCACTGTTTTCAACTATATTCAACATTCTTGAATTCAGGAAATAAGATGTGAAATTTCTTTAGGATTGTATGCATACATAATTTTTTTCGACTCATTCCTACTCGAAAAAATTCGTCATAGCTTTCACAGCTGCTTCAAGCTGAAATCAAGTAATTTAAAATAATATAAAGAAACAACAAAGGCTAGATAAAATTATGTTCACTAACCTGAGCGTTGTTCCCGAGTTGATTAAGGCAGATAATGCTGTGCATTACACTCTCCCGTGCTGCCAAAACTAACATCTCTCCTGGCAAGTCGCTAAAAGCATTAACTAGCACTCGCATCGCTAACATTTGATTTGCCGGCAAATTATCTGTAAAATTAAAAAAAAAAATTACTTAATTTGGTCACTGCGTGATGGCAGCGTAAGAGAATCTAGAAACCCATTTCGAGCCGTGAATACGCTCTCAAGTTGTCTCATGGCCTTCGCTATATAACAAGTAGCACGGATCCACTTCATTGAGGGGAAGGTCATAGGTGTGAGACGTCAGGCCACTGCTATCGCCAACCCACTTGCCAAGCGTTACGATTATGGCAAAACTTAAGGTGAAAACCTACCGTTCGGGGTCTGCAAATTTCCGTTCGAACGGTGGTTAGATAACTCATCTATACACTGATCCGTGTGTGGGACCTGGAAGTGAGACTTATATACTGAAAACAGTACTTGTCATCAATCATTTACACGCCTCTGGTTTTAAGCGTACAGCATTCGTCTGTTTGACAATACACTTATGGCCGTACCAAAGAGTAGAGTAAACGCGTACTGCTACAATCACCACATACAAGGTCCGCCAATCTTGGCGACATTTAAATACGTTGGGTTCAACACTCAATGTTTGAGATTCGATTGCGTAGGACACTTTCGCCCCAAATCATGATATCAAATATGATACCACCAATAAATATGTGTTTTCACATACGACTTCAATGTAAAATGTTACTCTATAGTTTCGTACATAAGGGTCAGAATCAAACTACGATGTTATTTTAAGTTCGTTAAAATCAATTAAAGTAAAGCGTTTTAAGGAGAAAAAACACAATCATGTTTATGTCTATAAATAATTTAAATTAAACGCGAAAAAATCCGCAAAATTAGTTTTATTCAATTGGATTCAATAATTAGTAACTGGGTAGTGAAAAAAAAAATACTCTAGGTACTCCAATTATTGGATCGAGTTAAGATTTTATGGGTCTAGTGTAAAACAAACCATGTAGTGGCGGTGTAAGAACATCCACTACCCCTTATTGTCCAGTATATACACAGGAAAACAGTTTTTTACTTAAAAAACGGAAGGCATTGTTTATATATATAAAAATAAATTCAAATTGACAACTTCTTCCTATTTTTGAGGTCTACTCTGAATGATCATAAATCTTTATATATAAAAATTACGTGTCACATTGTCCGCGATGAACTCCTAAACTACTAAACTGATTGCAATGAAATTTTGCACACTGTGTGCAGTTTGGTCCAACTTGAAAGATAGCATAGTTTTTATCCCTATAAATGACCCTCAATTTTTATTGCTAATCTCAGGAGTTTTTTTTTTTAGGAAAGCAAATGGTAGTTGGAAAGGGCAGAACATCGTCTGCCTGGTCAGCTAGTATATTAAAGATAAAAAAAGTAAAACGTACCTGGATTAAGTAGAGATAGAAGGTATTTAACGAAATTTGGTCCGTACGCAGCGTCAAATATTTGCCCATTGATTTCTTTCCTTCTTATTGCCAGCCTTGTTACATCTAGTACTGGAAAGAGTATTTCTGAAAGAAAAAAAAAATAACTTTTCACAATTGTACACATATTTTAGCAAAAGCGGTCAACCGCATAAAAGCTATGAGCCTTAGAAAGATAGAGTATTAGCCATAATCAGCTATCTTCGGATTTCAAAAGCACTGTCACTGTCATACACACCTGTATGACGTTTTGTCGCTGACTTTTCCTGCATATAGGGTTGCCATCTGTCCGGCTTTAGTCGGACACGTTTGTCTTTTTCGGGTTGTGTGCGTCCAAATTTTTATGTGTCCGGCCTATCCGGCTTTTGTTAGTGTAACGCGTTTCATGCATCGCTTGCAGAATAAATAAATAAGTAACGTATACACTTGAAACTGTGCTGTGATTGATTAATAAACAATTAACGTATGTAACGGACAATTTTTTTTCCTCGGGGGGTTGGAGTTCGTGAAAGAAAGGTATGTTTGGCTTTCTAAAAATTACTGTCCGGCTTCTAGGGCCAAAGGTCCGGCTTTTTGGAGCGCCGAGTCCGGCTTTTTCATTTTAGGAGATGGCAACCCTACCTGCATACTGCATAGGAGTACGTTTGGGTAGGTACCACCCTTTTACCTATTTCTGACAAGAAGCAGAGGTGCACTGCTGTGTTCTGGGCTGATGGTATAGAGTCAGTATCATTACAAGCCGTGAGGCATTGCATCTTAGGCAGATTTCATTCAGACATAATGTCAAGTTTAAAGTTCCCCAATGACCCAAATGTTGACATATTCTCTGAATACCGACTTTAGTCCTCAGAGGTGACAGCGCATCTTTAGTCTTCTCTGTTTGAATTTGGTAACAGGTGTCTATCGACGAAGTAGTTATTTCACACCATCAGGCACAGTGTAACTTTCTATAGCATGGTTATTCACTTCAAGTTTATATTCTACTAAGCCACCGCTTATCTACGATCCCACCTGATGGTAAGTGGTGATGTAGCCTTAGATGGTGAAGCGCACTGACTTAACAAAAGCCTATTCACTCTTGCCTTGAAGACACCCACACAGATGGAAAGACAGATGCTGGCAACTTATTCCACTCCTTTGCTGTACGCATGATGAACGACGTGGTGAACCGTTTGGTTCGAATGCGTGGTAAGTCAACAACGAAAGGGTGGAGACTGGCCGAAGGTCTGGTTGTCCGATGGTGGAAGAGAGAGGGAGGAATTAAATTATGCAATTCCTGCGCACACTCCCCGAAATGCATCCTGTAGAAAACCGAAAGGCTGACTTTGCGTCTGTGTTCGAGGCTGGTAAGATTGGTTTTAACCAAATTCGGGTCACCAATAAGCCTCTTAGCACGCCTTTCCATTGAGTTTCAAGTTTCTAACGGTTTCATCGTATTTACTACAAAGCATATTATATTCAATACTACCAACCCGCCCCGGCATTGCCAGAATAGGATCTATTAATGTAGCGCCAACTAGATTTAGGACAATCAACAAAGAACATTTTAACCGACTTCAAAAAAGGAGGAGGTTCTCAATTCAACTTTATATTTTGTTTACATATGTTACCTCATAACTTTTTTCTAAGTGAACCGATTTTGACGATTCTTTTTTTATTTGAAAGCTGGTGCTTTTGTGTGGTCCCATATTTTTTTTTATTATATCAACTAGCTGGTCCCGCAGACGTTGCTCTGCCCTTTCTGGTAGGTGACGCGATGAATTTCATTTTCACACACACGCTTTTAGAATAGCTTGGTTAATTTTATGGTTAACAGAACCGTCAGCAGCCATTTTAACAATAAACTTTATTAAAATTAAGGAAAAATATAAAAACCCTTCATTTTGACTTCTCTATGGTAGTCTCTCACTAGTAGCAGTAGTACTGCCTACATACTAAATTTTATGGAAATCCGTCCAGCAGTTTCTGCTTGAATCTTGAACAAATTTTTGTGACTAGTGTACCCACTCCAACCAAGCTTTAAATGCTCGTTCTGGAAGTGGTTCACGAGATTAGTTGAATGACGGATTTGAAGCTACAGTTTTTGAATTTCGCAGTGCGTATTCTTAAGCATAAAAGCCTACTGTCCTTATTAATATATAATTAATTAATTAAATATAATCTAGATTATGGATACCGAAAATGCAAACATAACACTCGCCATATTTTATAAACATAAAATTATTTGATTACTTGTTACATTATTATCCTTGTTAGGTTTCTAAATTACTAGCAATCAAATATTTTTTCTGGATCTGAATCCTGAACTGAGCACTCATGAGATAGATATGTTGATAAAGTTTTATGTGTTGCTAGAAATATTCTATGATTGGTATTTACCTTTAGGCCATTCCAACATTTTCTTCAATAAACTGATGGTTTCAGGATTGAATGAGCTATTCTAAAACAAAATGAAATAAAATAAAATGATTAAATATTTTGATAATCTTTAAAATAATAAATATAACAACTCAAAAGAGTTTTTACTCTAAAATAAACATAAAAGTAAACTGACAGTATTTATACTGTAGGACACAAGTGTCTCCTCCGAGACCTCCACTGCCCGTGTGTGTTGAAATGATTAACTTATTTAACCAAGGTCTTAAAGAGATTGAAGAAGCCACAGATCAGGATAGCAACATGTACTATTATTACAGGACATGGCTCTTTTAGCAAACGTTTATTTACGACAGTTGTTACAGATCCCTGTGCAGGGCATGTATGTGGGAGGAGGAAACGGCGGCCCACGTGTTGCTGACATGTCCGGAGGTCGCTGCACACAGGGCTAAATACCTCGGCATGCCGAGATCACTCTCCGATGTTGCTCGCAACATCAAAGGACTGTTGAACTTCTTGGGAGAGATTTCATGGCTCGAATAATCACAATACTCCCGCCCGCACGCAAAATACGCGTTTAGACGTAGTGTTGCGGAAAACTTATTAACCGGAAAATGGAATTCCGTTTGTCATCAAAATTCCACAGTTGAATGTAGGCTTCCCCCAGTGTTGGCCACATAACGGGATATTTTCTATAGTTGCACACAAATTGTTGGCGACCGCAGTTTTAATTTGTAATCAGGAAGACGCTGCTCATGTACTATTTCAGTTTCCCTCTATCGCTTCTTATGACATTCACATGATCCACGGTAAGATATTGAGTAGTGAATTTTCTTATGCCTCCTAATTAATCTTATTATCTTATTTATACGTGGTAGAGCCATGCTGCAGCTATATTAGTAGTATAGTTGTAGCACAAATGGGTCGGCTCGACCGGAGAAGGGCCACGCTCTCACAGAATACCAGCGTAAAATAGCAGCTTAACATTGCTGTGTTTCGTATGGTGAGTGTAGAGAACTGGAGACCCTTTTTACTGGCAAAGAGGCATTCCATCTTAGTCCTCACGGTTGACAACGCATCTGCATTTTGATTCGCAAACGAGGATAGATTTAGATGTCTATGGGCCACAGCAACCACTTACAATTGCTCGTTTGTCAGCCTATCCTATAAAAAAAATATATATATAATGAATCCTATGTTCCTAATTAATCTTATTAAGTGTGATGAAAACGATGAACTTCTTTAAAACTTACCAATTCTCCTAATTTAACTATATTCTCTATTTGTTCGTCTGTGAAGGAATTCATTGTATCTCCGATTTTACTGTTGAACTCTTTTAACTTCTCGTATATTGCTTTTAGGTTAGCTTGATTGAATCTGTATTAAAAAGTAAAGGAACCTAAGAGTCTGGTAAAATTAAAAAAAAATATTAGCCTATATTTCGTCTCACTGCTGTGCACAGGCCTGTTCTCATTTCCGAGAGGGTTATGGACATAGAATAATCTAAATATAATAGATAATATATATATATATAATAATAATAATATAAAATATCTCGAATAATCTAAATATCTCGTGAAGTTGCACTTGTCTAGTGCGTGTTGGCGAACTTCACATGCATTCGAAATATTTTTATTCTTCAAATGTGCGGGATCACAATAATTTTCTTCACTGTGATGTGATCGCTACCGAGCTATTTCTAATTTGTTTTGTATTGTTAACTGTGTAACATAATATGACGGTAACCTTTTTTTTTTCAAAAAAATCCTGCCGGGTTTCTCGATGGTTCTTCCCAGGTCAGAGTTTTTTCCGAACCAGTGGTAAATTAAACAAAAGAGTGACTTTCAATAAGTATTCTATCTATATTGAATAAAAAAGTTTATTACTGCAGAGCACATTTTAACACTTTCACTGTCCGGTTTCCAGACACTAGTAAGACAATAGCAATCACCTATAAGCAGTGCACGGGACAGCGATTAAAAAACGTGGTTAAATTAGCGTTTAAAATGACTGTTAACAATTTCATTGGTCCCGTAGGCGTATTACGTATCTTGCAGAAAACTAGCAATAGCGAAAATGGAACAATAATTGCTGATAAATCGAAGATTCGTATTACGTGCCAGCGATAACCAAGCTAACTAGAGACAGCGCTGCCTTGTGGTCGCTAATTAGCTAGGGCTTGGTTATCGCTGGTGCGTAATACGAATCTTCGATTTATCAGCAATTATTGTTCTAATTTCGCTATCGCTAGTCTTCTGCAAGATACGCAATAAGCCTACCGGCGGGGATCGAGGGAAATCAGCAGAAGGGCAGCAGCATCTTCCTAGTAACGCTTGCCAAGCGTGGTAACTATGGCAAATATCCCCCCTATGAGGCAATCTATGGGGGAGGCTATGTACAGCAGTGGATTTTAACCCTTTCGCTGTCCCATGCACTATATATAGGTCATTGCTATTGTCTTACTATTGTGTCTGCAAACCGGACAGTGAAAGTGTTAATACGCAGTAACGGTAACGGCAGGGATCGAATTCGGGTGGCTCGAGTACTGTGAAATTTACATGGAACGCTTAGCCCCAAAGCTAACACTAACTTAAAATCAGAAATAATTAAAAAAATTACGCCAACACGCATTGGGGCAGCGCGACGGACATTTGCGTGCCCTAAAAACCCTCTCAGTAATGAGAGGAGGCCTGTGCCCAGCAGTGGGACGTATATAGGCTGTAACTTTACTTTACTTTTACTTTATTATTAGTTTTCATCATTTTCATTCACTTCATGTATGAATACATACTTGTGAAATTGTTAATTGTATAGTTATGACCATTATACAATTTACAGTAAGTTACTATAGAAGAATTAGGTATTTGATTATATAAGAATAACTAGAATTTTAATATACAGGCTTATTTTGCAATAACCGGTCAAATTTGAATAGAAGGTTCAAGCCAAATGGTAAAAAAATAATTACAAAAATCTCAAACATTCTGTACTTTTTATCTTTTAAATTCAAAATGCGTGGTAATGCATTATTTTGAATGTTTGTCTACTATTTTGCTACGCATGGGTCGATCGGTCGGCAAAAATGTTGTGAATTGAATCGCATACAGAGAAGCGCGTAATAGTAGTATTTGTTGCCCATAAATCACATTCAATTTGGGATAATTTCAAATAAAAGTAGAAGCCTTATTTACTCGTATTAGAAAAGCTGCAATAACGGTATATCATTATTTATATATTTGAACTTAAGTTTAAAGTTTGGCTACTCTTTGAAAAAGAACCCTGTATGTTTACTTAGTTTGTTTCTCTTTATCATGTATATGTTATATCATATCTCGAATTACATGTGGCAAGAAAATAAAATGTTGCTTTTTATAAATAAATAAAAAATACAAAAAATATGAATTACATTAAAAATAATTTTATATGTGGTAGAGCTTTATTATTCTTGTAGCACGAATGGGTCCATTCGACCAGCGAAGGACCACAATCTCACAGGATACCAAATAACATTGTAAAAAAGCAGCTTTATACGGCTGTATTTTGTATGGTGAGTGTAGTGAACTGGAGACCTTTTTTACTGGAAACAAGGCATTCCATCTTGGTCGATAAAAACATGTAGATGTCTATAGGCCGCAGCAACTTTACCATCCATCGAGTGGACTGTGTGCACATTTGTCACACTTATTTGAAAAAAAAATTACCTAATATAAGCATCGTGTGGTATAAAATGCTTCTCGGTTGACGCCGCAATGGAACTTGCCGACACTGCAGAGGTGGTGTAAGCGCCTGATCCAGTAAAGGGGTCAATAGCGTTAACGGTCCGAGCTGTGGTACCCGATCCCGGTACGTACCGGGTCTCGCCCGTAAACGGGTCTGCAAATCTAAAAATTAACGTACAATATTAGTTAATATTATTATAGCCTTTGCCTAGCTTATATAAGATCCTAAGATTAGGTAATATAAAATTAAGTATTCCACAAATGTATAACTCAAAAACAACATTGCTAGAGTCTAACCAAAAAATAAATTAAATTTTCTGGACTTAATAGGACAATAAAAGTATAATTATGTAAAATCTAAAATAATTTTTATATTATTGTAGTTTTAGTTTTTGTCATGTTAATTTAAACAAGAAATCATTAGAAAAAATAGACTCTGCAATGGCTAATTCGGTCATCTTATTATATGCCATCGCAGTCTATAATTTCGGTATTATCGATGACCTTTATGTGGTGTTCACACCGGCCTTATCTAATTAATTTTCACATTTTTAATGTAATAAATTCCCGTAAAGTAATGCCTGGTGCTATTATTTCAGAGAATATATTTATTTCAAATTGAAAACTACACAATTCTTATTAAAGCCTAGAATAATTTTTCACTGTGCACTGGTCACTGGGTAGCAGCAAGGCAACCGTTTTATAATTTGACATATTATATTTTGTTTAAGATTTTTATTGACTAAAGGATAATTTCTTAAAGAAAATATTGTATTTTTTCAAAAATATAAAATTATTAATTTTAACTTTCGATCCTTACATGGTCGTTTATATAGAGTGACATAATTTGTATATTATGTAATATTTCAATATTCACCTTTACTTCTGTTTCATTGGTTATAGACATTTAATGGTGAAACTTACTTACCCATTACTTGCAGCAGGAAGTGTATCCAGCTTCGCATTGGTTATGATGAAATTAGCTACTTGCTCCAGGTACACTTGAGGTAGATCATGTCTGTAACATGTTTAAATATTAAACGTATAAAAATATTTTATTTTCAAGATGTACCATTATAGTCTAATCAAAAGTTCACTGCTGACATAGGCCTCAGTCACATATTACCTCATAGGAAGAATTGCCGTAGTTGCCACGTTTTCTATTTTCATTCAACTGTTACCAGTCTGCTGCCCATATCTTGGTTCAGTTCCGCTCTGTCGCTTCTTACGACACCCACATGATGATATGGGGCAGTGGATATTCTTACGCCGCCACTACGTGGTTTTTAGAACAATATTTTTAGATAAATAGCGAGGTAGTCCGTGTCAGATTACACGCAGTATATGTAGGATTGCCTAGTCAGTACAGGTGTGTATGCGTAACTAGATAATTTATGCAATTATTAAAACGTACCAATATTGAATGATGATCAGAAAGAAAGAATGATGAAACTTTCGAAAAATAAAATGTTATTTTTAATCGGTAGAGCCAAGCGCAGTGTTGTGTGGTTGGCTTGAATGGGGAAGGACAACGCTCGCTCAGAATACCAACATGAAAGAGCAGCATGATACTGCTGTGTTTCGTATAGTGAGTACATAGATTTGGAGACTCCTTTCACTGGTAACAAGCTATTCAATCTAATATCTCAAATGTGAAAACGCATCCGAATTTTAATTTTTAATCGAGGATATATGTATGTCTACGAGACCAGCAGTCACTAATCATTATAATTAATTAAAGCTAATTTTAAGAATTTTTCACCTCGCTGTCTTTGAAGGCCTATTTTAGCTAAAGTACCTCATTAAGTACTACTTTTTTTTATGATTATGAAAGTTGAGGGTCAGGAATTTTTTTTAGACCATTTAGTCACCTGTTTAGATTTTTAATTTAAAGTTGAAAATTTAAGTCATAATTCACCGAAAGTAAATTTTTCACTTTATAGTTAAGAAGCAGTTTTAAGCATAAAAGTACTGCTCATGACGATTCAGTTGCCAAAAAAATATCGAACCCTTCTAAAGCCTTCTACTTTTTTTTTATTTATTTTAGTTGTTCAGGTCGAAAATTTCAAAATTCAGAAAAAAAATCATAACTCGAAAACTATGAAAAATCGCGGAACATACATGGGGGTGATTCGGGTACCCCAAGGGGTCTATCTCTGGACTTCCGCTTGACACAAAATTTTTGGAACAGCCTGTATATGGCATATAAGCTCTTTTATGAACTTCACTTTAAAAAAAAATTACCACCCTTATAGTTGCATGCAATCTAGATTTATAATTGAATTACAAATGCCATCCATACTCATTTTCATATGTTTGTATATCAAAGTCTGATGACTTGATAAACTTTTATGAAGGGCATATCCAAATTATACTATTTATAATGATTAATGATTCCAGATATAAAATAAAGGTACAGATGTGAATTAGGGCTGAATCTGAATGACAGGGTGAGAAATTGTGTAATATGAGAAAACTGTGGTTTGTAAGATGATGTTGTGACCAGGATTAAGAAAGGAATGTTTCGGTGGTTTGGTTATGTAGAAAGAATGAACGAGGAAAGAGTGACAAAGCAATTCTATGTTCCAGAAGTGAACAGCAGAGTCGGTAAGACGGTCTATACGATAGTTTATCGGCCAAGTTGGCGATATATTGAAAATGGGCAAGATTAAGATTACCCTTAAACTACAATCATGTATACATAGGTATATGGATGTAAAAGAGGCGAGAGTGTGTCGGGATGTTGGAGGTGTGCCAAATGGAAGTCCGTAGTCTTTGCCTACCCGTCTGGGTGAAAGGCGCGAGTGTTTAGATATGAATTGATGAAGCTGTTCAAAAGATATTTACTTGTGAATGAAGGCTTGAGCTGCGACCCATGGGTCTTCCGTCTTATTAAACGGCAGCTTTATTGGTGGGGCGCCATCTTTTATATCCACGCTGAACACGAAGTCATATTCCTGGAAATAATATTACTCATTTTAAATAAAACTTTTTATCGCGGTTAATTTTAACTTTCCATTGAGAAATCATTATTGTTTATATATATTTTGATTACAATATATTTAATTGCACAGTACAATGATGATTTACTAGTCCAATATCTTACCTTTCCTTGATACATAGTTTTGCCTTCAGAGGGTGGATTAGCACCCAGTACGTCACCAATCTCGTTCCAGGTGCTATCGGCCGCGGACCACGAGTAGCACTTAACATTAGTGCCCTGACGCACCAGTTTTGTTTGTCCATCCGTCTTCCCCGCCTGTAACAAAACTTCTGGTCCTGGCAGCCTAAAAAATAAATAAATGTTATTACTAGAAATGTGAATTATGTAAATTCACAATACAGTCAGTGAACTTTTACTTAGTTAAAAACAGCCTCGTAACAAAAACTTCACAGCCTCATTGGTCTAGTGGTCGTAATCGAGATAGGTCTCGGGTTCGAATCCCAGATCGGGCAAAAAAGCAGTTATTGAGTTTTTCTCTCTAGAAATTCTCAGTAGCAACCCACAGTCAGGAAGTTGTTGTCTCCTTTGAGACTAGCCGTCGTGACAGAAATTCGGTCTCGAGTACTTTATTATTATTATTGCTTAGTTCAATTTACAGTTCAAAAACGTCCCTCTACTAGCCACAGGTTTCCTTTCATTTTTGTAAAGCTTATAGAGCAATAAGTCTACTGAGCTGCTCCTGTGCTCCACAATCATCTCGAAATATTTTTACCTTTTTAAAAATATATGTTTTCTCGTGATGTTTTGTTTCATCGCTAAACACGTGCTAAATTAGCGCATAAAATTACAAAAATAAAATAGCATGACAATCAATAAATAAGCAGCAAAAAAATAGCAGACATTGCAAAATTAGTATGCGTACAACGAGGAACAGTGCGATCAACTAATCTTAGTCGAAGAAATAGACTCAACGTGTAACAAACGCTAGTATACAGTATGTCTTTTAGTATTTTTATGTGGTATATCTATGACGCAGCTATATTCTAGCTGTAGCACCAAAGTGTCGGCTTGACCGGGGAAAGACCCCACTCTCACGGAATACCAGCGTGAAATAACAGCATAATGCTTCTGTGTTTCATAGGGATTTCATCCTAGTCCTCAAACGTGAAAATACTCGTACATATAAATTTTGATGTTTAATCGAGGATAAATAAAGGTTCCTATGGGCCACAATATCAACTTACTATCAGGTGGACTTGTTTATATGCCCTTATTCTATAAAAAAAAATGTAGAATAAACTGACAGGGACAGTGCACGCAATTGAGGGAGAGCGGGAGGTGCTCTTCAAACTAGGTAAGACACATCATTTTATTTTATCTAGCGGATGTACGCAAAGTAATTTTTTGTCAAATTTTTTTTAGATTAAACTGTGGCAAACTTAGGTAACAATTTGTTGTACAGCTTCTATTACTCCTTAGCACTTACTCTGAAAGTTTATAGCCACCTATTTCTTGTTGTGACGCTATATGCATTTTTGCCACTAGGTTTTCTCGTGATGTTTTGTTTCGTCGCTAAACACGTGCTAAATTAGCGCATAAAACATTGCGTGACAATACTCGTACATCCAAATTTTGATGTTTAATCGAGGATAAATAAAGGTTCCTATGGGCCACAATATCAACTTACTATCAGGTGGACTTGTTTATATGCCCTTATTCTATAAAAAAAATGTAGAATAAACTTACAGTGCACGCAATTGAGGGAGAGCGGGAGGTGCTCTTTAAACTAGGTAAGACACATCATTTTATTTTATCTAGCGGATGTACGCAAAGTAATTTTTTGTCAAATTTTTTTTAGATTAAACTGTGGTAAACTTAGGTAACAATTTGTTGTACAGCTTCTATTACTCCTAAGCACTTACTCTGAAAGTTTATAGCCACCTATTTCTTGTTGTGACGCTATTTGCATTTTTGCCACTTCCTCTTCGAAATTTTTTAGTGTTGCTTCGTCAGCATACCTAGTGGGATCCTTTGTAAACACTCTAACAATTCCATCACTTGAACCTGAAATTAAAAGATAAGAAAGGGGAAATTATTTATTGTTCAGTAAAACAGATCGGTCCTAATATATGATAATGATGTCCTCCTTGTAGACTGCGAATGCGCCAGCATAGACCCGTGGTGCACGCAGCATGCGGGGGCTTGGTTGCGATATTTTTAGAAACGATTTATAATATACCACTTAAATATAGTCCCCATCGTTTCATTAACTCCTTAGTCTCAACAATTTGGTCCTTAGGAGCCGGATTGAACAAGGGATATGGATTACCAAGGGACTTTGATCATTGTGACAATTCTATATATAGAAAGATGTAAAGTGTACAGCTGTCCACAAAATACCCATGATCGATCTCACGCTTTGGAAATAAGATTAGGTATATTAGATATAGGTATTCTAGGATGCAGTGTAAGGGACAATCACAACAGAATAAAAACTGAAAAGTAACGATTTGCATATTTTTTTTGACACAAATGTTGCAGTAGGCAGGCAAGTATTCGTGACCACTGAGCCATACTTGGATAAATAATACACTTCAATCTTATAATCTATTTTTGTAAATATTAAATAGAGATTCAAATTGTTGACAACAGTTCCTTATTATTTTACTTGTTCCACTAGCTTTTCTTTAATTTTCCAGGAAAAAAAAAACGTTAACCCACGCTTGGAATTTTTCCTGTAGAGGCGTATTACACACAAAGTGCACACGGACATCATCTAAATCAAAAAAGTCAAAATCAAAAATCCTTTTATTTTCGGACCAGTAATACTTAAAATTAAACACATTATTGGAACACTCTTTTTAAGTTAGGAAACTTGTGTTAGGAGGCTCCGCTCTTCCCGTCCTTCATTTATATAAATTAGTGTTTAAAACTTGGGTAACACATAGATTTTTGATTTATTTATTTAAACTTATATAGTATTTTTACAATCAAATATCTGTAGGTGTTAGTTGTGTGATTGTGTAGTGTATGTGTATGTGGTGTGTGCATGTTGAGGTATGGTATATTTAGTAAATTATTAATTATGAGTAACAATCAAGTTTTACAAACAATTATTTGAAATGCCATCATGCCACTCGTTCCGAGCGGGATTTGAGCTCACGGCGCTCAATATGGCAACCAACAACATACCACATACATACGTCATTTGTTACATCTCTTTTAATTTTCGATTGCACTCACCATTGGTAGTGCGCCTAGGACTATTTCGGGTAATTCCAGACATTAATTTTTACCATTGTATGCTGTAGCAAAATTCACAATTCCATGAAAGTTTGTATTCCTACTTTGTGAAACTTGCTGTCATAGGTGCATAAGTGTTTTTCCCACGGAGTGAATACAAAGAGGTGTTGTAATTAGATTTCACTATGCAACAACGCGTGACAATTTGCAGGGCGGGGGGGTGTTAAGCCCCGCTTAACTTAACTGTTTTCCATCTTACTGTTGTGTTCTGTTTCTGTTAGTTCCCATGACACAGTGTCGCCATCTATTGTCGAAATATATAATTATATTTGAAAGCCGACGCAGAAATTTTTCTAGAACTATTTTATTAAATTAGGTATAAAATTACTTACAAATGAAATATGATGCCATCCATAGCATCAGAGCGTATATCTGATTAGTTTTTCACGATAAAACACAACACTTCATTCTTTTCTTCTTAATACTACAAAAATACACTGATTTGAGATTTTCGACACATAAGGAACACAGGCCGAACGCTGACAGTATACTAACTAAAGTCGCGCCCACTGTGATGACGTCAGGACCTAATTAGAATCATAGTGCACAGTTGCTTAGGCCGTCTCCTCTTTGTATTTGCTCCGTGGTTTTACCTGACCAATATGACTTAAAAACCTTCAAGATTAGGGCCTACTCCATATTCAAAGGCTCGCAATGCACATGCGATTTCTCTGGTGTTCCAGATGTTCATGGGCGGTGGCGATTTACTTATCTTTGAAATTATGCTCTTTCATATAAAAAAACAGTAAGTAAGTAAGTAAAAATAGCAAAAATACTTTTATTAAATGTAGATATTTACCTGTGACAATATCACCATTATCTAAGCATGTAACACTCCAAACTGACTGTACAGGCAAACGAATTTCTCTTACACAATCGCCGCTTGACCACAATCTAACTGTGCCATCCTCTCCACAAGTTGTAAATGTATTTGGCAATCCTGGGTTTGTACTGATACTGTTGAAGACAATGTTTTAAAAGTTAGGCATATTGTTATAAAAGATTAACTGAAATCCAATTTATTTGTGTGTAACATGCTTAGTAAAATATATGTTAAAAATAAATAAAAACTATTACAACATCATCAACAATAACAACAGGCTAAAAAATGTTATCTACTACATGATATTCTTTTAAACGCATGCTGCAGCTATATTATGGTTGCAGCAGGAATAGTTCAGTCCAACCTGGGAAGGTCTACAATTTCATGGAACATACTAGTGTAGAATAGCAGCACAATACTGCTTTGTTTCCTATGGTAAGTTTAGAAAACCAGGGGAACCTTTTTACTGGTAATGACCAATTCTATTTTAGTCCTCAGCTTGACAAATGCATCTACAATTTGATTCTTAATCGGGCATATTATGTAGGTGTGTATGGGTCACAAAATCCATTTACCATCAAGTGAACTGTGTGCTCATTTCTCACCCTTATTCTTTAATAAAATATATATTAGTCATCCTTCAAGTTATGTTCGCCATCTGGCACTTTTTGAAAAACAGTAAAATTGAAAATGCTATTGATGATGATTACAACCCACCTAGATAATTGCATGATATAGAATGATTTGATTTGGTTCAATAGATTTTCTACTGTCAAGACAGGCCTTGTTCATCAATGATATTCAGTGTGCGCAGGCGAAGTTGCCACTTGGAGAAAACATTCCTATTGCACTTGCGCCCTACAGGCAATCTTATTTGTGTGCCAGGCATGGCAATTATGTATCACACATGCAAGAGATCTATTTACAAGTGTGAAGCATTGCTGGGTTAATGGTCAATAACACAATCTATGTATTCGAAGTATATCTTTCGTACCCCTTAAATAAATTACAATAAGGAACCTTCCACTGCACACTTAATTACAGAGAGTAAAACCATATCCAAAGTTGTTGTTAGTGAAGTGTGACATTTGCAATTTTAGTAATTTATATTCATACTTTAAACATTTCAATTTCAATTTGGTCCTTCACTTTATAGAAATTTACCTATAAATATAATTTGAATGTCCAAAGTAGGTATTAAGGCACTCTCCTTTATTAGTCCACAATCTCACAGATGCATCATTGGAACAACTTAAAAACGTCTCAGCACTAGCCACCACAAGCCCTCTCACACAATCTGTATGTCCTGCAATAAAGAATAAAAATATATAAGTATATAATAAATAAATGTTTACAATTTCTTATATCATACATCCATGCACTTTTCTAATTGCATTGAAAATGATTGTTTTAAGAATTAGAACTCACAGAATACCAGCGTATAATAGTAGCTAAACTCTGCTGTGTTTCGTATGGTGAGTGTAGAGAACCAAAGACCCTTTTTACTGGAAATGAGGCATTCCATCTTAGTCTTCACGGGTGACAACGCATCTGCATTTTGATTCATAATCGAGGATAGATGAAGATGTCTATGGTCCACAGCAACCACTTACAATCAGGTGGACTTTGTGCTCGTTTATCACCCTTATCCTATTATAAGTAAAATAAAATAGAAAACTGTGGTTGGCAACCTGCTTGCTAATAATCGTGGCAACTATGGCAAATACCCCTCTATGAAGCAATCTATCCCCATAGAAAGTCGTATGTACAGCAGTGCACTTTGGTAGTCTGTAACTGTGCTAACTGAAAGGAAACATAAGGTTTTCTTCTGAAAATACCTGATTTAATTAATTATTATAAAGGTAATTCTCAGTTTAAATATATTATGCTTTTTGTTTTGATTGTTCCAACTATAATAATATGTCTTGTGCACATACACCTTACTTGTTCAGATTGTCACATAAGATTTGACTTATTCTTAATTTCAAATATTTCTAATATAACATAACAAACTCTCATACCTACACACACCACGGACTTCCACTTGGTATGCACATCTTTTGACTTGTCACATCCATATACCTATGCAAACATGCTTGTCAGTTAAGGATACTCATTTGGCCCATTCTCTATATATTGCCTATTTGCTATATAAACTCCATCTATTATCATTTTGCTTTCACTCTTTCCTTTTCATTCTTTTTAAGTTTTTTAATTGTAGTAACAACATCTTGTAAACCAAACTTTTCAAATTACACAATTTCTCACCCTATCATATTCAGAGTCAGCCCTAACACACTTCTTGGTTGAAATTTAGAATCGTTTGGCAGGAGGAGGGGGCAGGGGATGAGGGGAGGGGAAGGGAGAGCGTCCCCTTACTCCCGACACCACTCCCATTAAAAGATAATACACCGTTCTTGAGAAAAATCAAAAACAAATCCCATAGACCTAACCTGAAAGTAACATTTATCATCCCCGGCAGGAGGGGGGAAGAAGGGAGCAGGAGTGTGCCTTAACAGGGAAAGCCCCTCTACTTTTCCCTCGTTGCGGAAAAGTATAGTGTATGAGTAATGGTTTTTTGTAAATTCATAACCTCACTTATTTACACAGGAATATTGACCCAAAGTTACTTCTACAACGGCTTCGGCGCTGCGAATAGTGCAACCCCTTAGCCCTTGCGTAGCGAATCACAGGCACCCATGCTCACCTTCTTGGCGGGCGGAGGCTGCACTCCCTCCGCGCCTACGGCTTTACAAAAACACTCTAGGAGTAGGGCAGACAAGACTATGTGGAGTCGGGGTGGGCTGGTTTAACTTTAGTACAGATTCGATCAGATCCGATCAGATCAGATATCTTATCTACAAAGTCAGTTTGCCTTCACTCCCACCAAACATTCTAACCTATTACAACTGAAATTATGTCTGGGTGTTCAAGTATTTCTGGGCAGTTTTAAACAATTCAAAAATAAAACAGTATAATAAAATCATTTCTTTATTGTCTGTCAACATATTTTTTTTTATTAATTTGTCAAAAGGATCTCTTTTATTCTTTATAATTTTTCTTCTCCATAAATATTCATATATCAAGTCGGTAAAATTTTCTTTATTATTATAGTTGACTTTAGCGAAATATCTCTTGACAGAGAGTATAGACAATAGAATAATGTGACACTAGTCTTACGTCCTTGTCGCACTTACACAAAATTCTGTATGCTTTCCAGCTTTCACAGTAATACTGCATATTATGTTTTTCCATGTTTTACGCCTCAGCCAGTATCGGAATCCTCGGCGTCGACATATCGAGTAGCGTGCAGTTTCGTGGTCACTTGGAAGAGAAGGCCAAATTGGCCTCTAAAAAGCTTGGCGTGCTCAGCAGAGCGGGACAGTATTTCATGCCGGCTCAACGCCTGCAACTTTACAAGGCGCAGGTTCGGCCTCACATGGAATACTGTTCCCATCTCTGGGCTGGGGCTCCCCAGTGCCAGCTTCTTCCACTTGACCGCATCCAGCGCAGAGCGGCTCGAATCGTCGACGACCGAGTCCTTTCCGATCGGCTCGACTCATTGGCACTGCGAAGAGATGTTGCATCTCTTAGCATTTTCTTTCACATTTACCATGGGGAGTGCTCTGAGGAATTGTTCGGATTAATCCCAGCCGCCAAATTTCACGAACGCACATCGCGGCAGAACTCCCGATACCATCCACACCATCTGGATGATTGGCGGTCCACCACTGTGCGATTTAGAAGATGTTTTCTTCCTCGCACAACTTCCTTGTGGAATAGTTTACCACCAGCGATTTTTCCGGACCGATACGACTTAGGGACCTTCAAGAAAAGAGCCTACTCCTTTTTAAAAGGCCGGCAACGCATCTGCAATTCCCCTGGTGTTGCGGTTGTTCATGGGCGGCGGTAGTCACTTACCATCAGGTGAGCCGCATGCTCGTTTGCCCCCTCTCCTATAAAAAAAAAAAAAAAAATTTTAGGTTATAATAGTTTTTATTTATTTTTTCGATAACGGTGCATTACCTTTTAATGTGAGTGGTATTATTATAAACGGGAACCAAATCTCTACCAAATAAAACAACTTACTCCCCCAAATTCCTGCCAAACGATTCTAAACCCAACCCCACTTCTTAATCACCGCATTTCTATTTTTATGCCACTAACATACATTATGGTAGGGACTATGCATTGTAAATGTGAACATTTTTTTGAATGTGAATGCGAGTAACATGTAAGTGATAGCTTTGGAAAGAAGAAGAAAGTGATATGTGAAATAAGAACAGAAGGGGAGTTGGTTGAGCAAGTTGATGATTATGTGTATTTAGGATGCATGTTGAGCAGAAATGGTAGACATCATAAGGATATAGAATGACAAGTGAATGCAGGACAGGGTAAACACTCTGGGCTCTTTACTCTATTGTGGGATGTCAGAATGTGACAAAAAGGCATTTATGACAATTCACATTTCTATTTAATACATAATACATGATATTAAAATTTCAACACACCTGTTAAAGTGGAAATTGATTCACCATTCTTTTTCCACAATTTAATTGTTTTATCAGCTGATGCTGTAGCATAAGTACTGTTACCAAGCTCTATGATTGACCAAACAGCAGCTTGGTGACCTTTGAGAGTCAGTGGTTCAGAGTGAATATTGTTAACATTCCATATTTTGGCTGTGCTGTCCCAACTTGAACTGAAGCATAAAATATTTAATATTTTGACGAAACTAATTGTTATAATAACACTACCCACAAAAGTGTAGTATACCAAAATAAATAAATTGAAACACACTAATGTAATGAAATTTATTTAATGTTTTGGTGTGCATTTTAATAGTAATAAATATTAGCAAAAACATAAAAGATAAATGTCTATTTGTAATTTTGTAAAGTTTAGCCATTAAGGCTGCGAGCACGAATTTAGCGACGGCCGAGCGTTGACAGTTGCGGGTTTGATTGATGATATGCAACGTGCACGAAACAGACGTGAGAGAAGCGGGGCGTGGCGCGGCGAAGGCGACAGGAATAAACTATTTTGATTTCACCACTTGCTCGAGTATATAAGGTTGTATTTTTATTTATCATTTTAATAATGGAAGTTGATAATGATTTCCAAGGATAACAGATTCCAAATTGCATCAAATGTTCTCTAAATTATAATCAAATGTGTCTATAGTTACTCATTCTTGTATTATCAACACCTTAATTCATAATAAAGAGTAGGCAATTCGCCCATACTACTTCTCCCTTGATTTATTGAATGAACACCATCTCTAGCTAATAACAATTCCACTCTCATTAGGACACTAGGCTCCAGTAGTTCTCTTTCACTTGAACTCATGTTAATCACAACACTACTCTAGCGCGACTAACCGAGCGCTGTTTCGTGCCCAAGTGAGATACCGCTGTCGGATCTCCCTACACCACGCCGTCCCGCTCGAACGCCACTAATTTCATGCCCGCAGTCTTAATGTTAAAAATATTATTTTATTGATAAGGCTTTAGACTCATTAGCTTATAACTTAGATATATACTGGCACTATGAGAAAAATGATTCCATGGTATTTCCGTTACATTAAAAATATAGTTTAGCACAATTACCTCATAAGAATTCCTGAGTCCTGGCTAGGAGAAACACTACATACGGCATTCTCATGTCCTTTTAATGTAATTAGAATTGTACCATCTTGTAAATTATAGCCAATAATTGTATTATCATTGCTTCCTGTTATAACAAGACCATCAGGAAAAGCCTCACATGGAGGGAACCAGCACACACATGATACAAAATTATTGTGGCCTTTATATGTAACAACATTTACAAAATCTTTTACTCTGAAATGTGTTATATAAATTATAAATTATTATAAGATATGGAAACTAATAAACAATTATTTATTCAAAAATATTCTTGTAATATGTATTATTGTCATAGACATATTTACCATTACCTCACCCATAGATTGCCTCATAGAGGGCAGTTTGCTAGTTTCCATGCTTGACTAGCGGGTTGGCAATGGTAGTTTTTATTTTTAGTTGTTATTAGGAAGATGCTGCTGCCCATCTGCTGGTTTATTTCCCTTTGTCGCATCTTACGACACCCACGGGATGATATATATTTAATAATCAAATAAGTCCTTTAAATTTCCTTATTTTGGGCCAATTCAAAGCATTTTGGATTTTTTTTTTCTAAAATAGAAGTGGAAGAGAGGACAAAGTAGTTTGTCTCAGGCAACACAAATTTTTCCAAAGTCCTGCAAGATGAACCAAATTGTCACAGCACCTTAACCTACTGTTGCCAATACTACTTTTCTCAACAAAATTGCTTACAAAAAACTAGTTTAGCCAAGAAAAAAAAATTGATTGTCAATAAGTAAACATTTTGTAAAATATTAAACTCTTTTTTTACTAAATACTCTTGGTCAAAAGTGATTTTATCTACCCGTCTTGTTTAAAAATACTTTTAACCAATATTTTTCAGTTAAAAACTCTTTAAACTAATGCTTTTTCAGTTAAATGTCAAACGAGCAAAAATATGAAGAAATGTTGTAATTTAATTTTTAATTTTCTTGAAATTATTAAATTTGTTATTATTTTTCTTTCGAACAGTAGTTATTTGAAAGTGCTAAGTTTGGGTATTTAATCTAAAGGAGAGCCATTATTTGTTCTATTACATTGTAATTTTTGTTATTTTTTTTATAAATTTTAAAAAATTTGATTTCTTCATCTGTGTAAGTAATGGATATGTTTGAAAATATATATAAATGAACATGAAACCATCTTTCTGCTCAAATAATGTCGTGAAATGTATCATTTCAAAGTTAATTTTATTACTAGACTTAACAACTTTGGCTGTACGTGGTCATCATCATCATTATAACGATTCTTCACAAGTCTACTGCTAAACATAGGTCTCTTCCAAGAAAAGATACAAAATCCATCTAGTAGTGGGCCATCCTATACGAGGTTGCCTAAAGACCATGTCTCAGTTCTATATGTTGGCCAGGCCTGTTGGTCTAGTGGTTAGTGACCCTGACTGCTATGCCGGAGGTCGTGGGTTCGATTCCCACCCAGAACAAATGTTTGTGTGATGAACACGATCATTTGTTCTGTGTCTGGGTGTAATTTATCTATAATATTTATGTATTTAGAAATATATAAGTATGTTTATCAGTTGTCTAGTACCCATAACACAAGCTCTGCTTAGCTTGGGACTAGATGGCGTTGTGTGATAGTTGTGGAATATTATTATTATTATTATTATATGTTATCACTAGTTGTGCACTTCTTTAAGATTTTAAGGAATAGATGACAACAAGATGTGTTGTAATCTTTTAAATCCTGCCAAGTTAAAACTTGTCATTCGACTAGGTAAATCAAAGTTTGATTTACCTAGTCGAACAATTTTGACAAAGTAAACATATTTTTTAAAAACTTCCAAGCATAATTTTCCTAACAATTATTGGCATAGGTGTGACATGGATATGACACATCATCTTTGTTTAGTCCACATTAATTATTAAACCTATCCATCAGCATCAACTAGCCTATCCAGTGTAATATGAACAAGTCTTTCAAGTTATGTAAGGCAGTCGGCTCATTCATAAAGGCCTATAGAACAGTACATTGAGAAAGGCTAACATAAGTTAAGAAATAAGCTAATAGCGTATTATAATAATAAAATAAGTTTTATACGTATCGATTCAGTTTTGTTGCCGATTATGCACTTACTCTTACTACAAACTTATTATTAATGTTTTAATACAGCAATTAAAATAATCAACAAAAGGTACTAACCCTTCTGGGTGCCATAACTTAGCGGTTCTATCACGAGAACCAGACAAAATACAATATTCTTTGGTAGTTGCCACGCATCTTACGTCCAGTGAGTGGCCATACAATACAGCACTGAGTTTATAATCAGGTATAGCCATCGTATTATTAAAATTAGTAAGCACTATCAATAAAGTAAAGATAAAATAATTACGATAAATGTTCCTGTAAATACTTATTATACTTTTTGAATAGATGACACAAGACACAACAGCAACGAAAACAACGAACATGCAATTTCAAATTGTCATGATCATGTCATGACAGCATGTCATGATGACATTAACTACCACGCATTTTTTTAATCCTTTGGTTACGGACTTATACGGTAATATTTTTGCCCGCATCAAGAACCTTATAATTCAAATCATATCAGAAGACTTAAATTCAAGGAAATTATCCTAAATAAATTATTTAAAAAGTTGTCCACACAAATATTGATGCCTGAGAATAATTATTACTAATAAAGAGGGAATCTTAAAATAACAACGAAACTCTTGTAGTTGAACTCTTTAAGCATATTACGTTTTACGTGGTACAAAATAAGAAAGCAATATTAATTCATCCATAGAATTATTAGCAGAACTAGAAGGTTAGCTCGTAGAATAGAATAGAATGATGTTTATTCAATATTGATTATTACATAATACTTATTGAAAGTCATTATTTTATTTACCACTGGTTCGGAAAATACCTCTATCCTGGGAAGAACCAGCCAGAAACCCAGCGGGACTTTTTTTTAAATATAATTTCACTTAACAATAATTTTGTTTATACAATTTTAAATGAATTTTCATAGAACCAGCATGGTGGCGATCACCTTATTCCCAGGGGTTATTTTCATTCATCTATTCCTTGATATTATAATAACCCTTTTTGTACAGTTTTTCTTTAATAAAACTTTTAAACTTGTTTATTGACAAACTTTGAATATGTTCTGGAATTTTGTTGTAAAAGCGTATACATTGCCCCATAAATGAAATACTAATTCTGTGGAGTCTAGTAAGTGGCATTACAAGCTTATGTTTGTTCCTAGTGTTTAAGGTATGAACATCCTTATTCTTATTAAAGCTATTTATGTTTTTAAGTACATACATTACATTTTCATAAATATATTGCGGTGCCAAAGTTAATATGTTTATTTCTTTAAAATTTTCTCTGAGGGACTCTTTTCAATTTAGATTATAAATCGGTAATTTAGTGTCAAGCCGATTCATACTTTTACTAACGAAATAAAGGTTAATTTTTATACCTTTTAAAAGTAAGGGTGTACGATAGACATATACTCACTTTTTAGTCGCGCTGTCTCGTACCCACAGTTGTCATAATAAATTTATAGGGTATTAATTACAAAGCTTCGGACATAAACATCCACCTCAATAGTGCAATGCCTGTTACACAGGCTTTCAAAATTCAAGAAGTTTGTCAAATAAATATTAATATCTTGATTTTTTCGGTTTCATCATTCATCATCATCTCAGCCCTTCACAAGTCCACTGCTCTGAACATAGCCCTCTACCAAGAAATGCCACTAAGCAGGGTCCTGAGCCATCTGCATCCATTGACTTCCTGCATGTCTTACCAGATCGTCACTCCATCTAGTGGGAGGTCGTCCTACACTTCGCCTACCGCTACGAGCCTGCCACTTGAGCACATTTTTCCCCATCGGTTGTCGGTTCTTCGAGCTATATGGCCGGCCCGTTGCCACTTCAGCTTACTAGTCCGTTAGGCTATGTCAGTCACTCTGGCCTACTGCGGATATCCTAATTTCTAAGTTTATCACGCAAAGAAACCCCGAGCATAGCCCTCTCCATAGTTCGCTGAGCGACCTTGAGTGTCCTCAACGGCCAGCAGTGAAGGACAACGTCTCAGATCCATAAGTCATCACTGGCTCCCCGCACTGGTAGTATAATTTCGTTTTCAGGTTTTGAGGTATACCTGACGAGAAGATGTGTCATAATTTCCCGAACGCTGCCCAACCGAGTTTAATCCGTCGATTGACCTCTCGGTCGCAGTTGGACTTACCTAGTCGGGCTATTTGTCCCAGATAAACCTACTCGTCAACAACTTTTTACTGGAAACGAGGAGATCCTTTTTACTGGAAACGAGGCATTCCATCTTAGTCCTCACGGGTGACAACGCATCTGTATTTTGATTTGTAGTCGAGGATAAATGTAGATGTCTATGGGCCACAGCAACCACTTACTATCAGGTGGATTGTGTGCTCGTTTGTCACACTTATCCTATAAAAAAAACTTCGAGCGTAATGCTCCCTACAACTACCGGTATAGATGTGACATGGATATTACACATGTTCTTTGTTTTGTCCATGTTCATCTTGAGACATGTCCGTTGGGAGACACTATTGAGGTCATTGAGCATAGTGCTTAGGTCCTACAGTGATTCTGCCATAAGGACTATATCGTCGGCAAATCGAAGTTGAATGATGTACTTGCCACTGATGTTAATAGCGTATCTTTTCCAATACAGTAGCTTGAAAAAGTCTTCCAATGCAGCGGTGAGGAGTTTCGGGGATATGACGTCACCCTGTCTTACACCTCTCTGCAATAGGATAGGTTGCGTAATCTGGTTCTCGACTCGGATAGCTATCGTAGCCCTATTGTTCAAACACTTCAGCACTTCGATATACTGTACAGAATAGTCAGCTTGGCACCATTGAAGGGACTGTAGCGCCGCCCAAATTTCGACAAAATTAAAGACTCTCTAGCCCATATGAAAGACATAGTGGCAGATTCTAATCTTCAGTCTTCTGTACAATTTGCCGAAGGGTATGTATGCGGTCTATAGCACTAAAGTCTTTTCGGAAACCGGCTTGTTCGGGAGTACAAGCTTCATTGTGAGTGTGGTCTCTCATTTATAGGGCAAACAAAAAGATCAATAAAAACCCGCGTAAAAGAACACATAGCTGACGTGAAGCACCAACGTTCCGGGAAGTCTGCAGTTTGTGATCATATACAAGACGGCCCCCGCCATTACATTAGATTTGATAAATCACGAATTCTCGCGAAAGAACATCGATTCATGCCAAGGATGATACGTGAGGCTATTGAAATTAAAAAAGATTCTAATTTCAATAGAGAGGGAGGCTGGGTGCTACCACCTGCTTGGGATCCTATAATTCATAAAATTAAAACTAAACCTAAGCATACCACTGCAAGACTTCAAGACACAGTAAGTTCATTCTGCGTAGATCGGACCAAAATTAATAATAAAAGAAGCTGAAGGTACTCCGGGTTAACTCTGACATTGGGACGTTAGTCACATCAGTCCCCCGTGACCTAGGGTGCTGTAAAGTAACCGAAACGTCGTGAAACAATAATAAACAAGATAATTAAACGCGATAGAATCTGTAAAAGTAGTTTTATTCAATTACTGCTTCGTGTCGATGGTCTGGAACTTATCCTAATGGCATATACGAGATTGTAATACTGCCATCTATCAGCTTAAGGTCTTTCTGGCTTTTGCAATAACTAACTTTAAAACACTCCAAAGAAGATATGTGGCGATGGATTCTATTTCGCCACCATAACCATTCCAAAAAGATTGTGCTTATTCCAAAATGTACAGCATGTGCTGAACATATAGAAATGTATTTCATTAGCTACTATTAGCTATTAGCTAAATAAATAATAAATATTTGTATTTTGTTTCATATTGCCACATATTACTTGTTTAACAAAGGTACCTATTTAAAAATGCTCTAACTGAGGTAATCGCTATACTCGACTCGAGTGATAAACTTCAATCGATGCAGGGACTGTAAATAGTTAATTCAAATAACTCAAAAACTCGAGTACAACTAGAGTAACATGATAAAACCAGAGTGACTTGAGTCATAAAATTCTACTCGAGTCACATTTTTATATTACGGTCAATGCAGAATCTGTCTACAATTTAGTGATGAATTCGACTTACTAATTCAAGCAATTTATTGATATATTATGTAATGTCCATAAGCTGATTAAGTATAATTCGTGATAGTTAAATTATTAATAACAGTAACTTTACGCTACGTCATAAACTCATAAAGTTAGTGATATTATTTTATGAAGATAGTCTAAACGCAAACCAATAATATATAATTACCTATTAAGTTAACAAATATTAATAATTATCTTGGATGGAAGAACAAATATAAAAATAATTTGTAACAAACTGACACAGCTTCGTTCCGCCAACTCGAGTTGTGTAACTCGAGTACTATTCGATTACGTGAAATTTCAAGACAAGTTAACTCGAGTCGAGTTTCTTTCGAGTTGGCACATCTCTACTACAATTGTTTATAATATTACTTTATCTGAACCAATGACAAACATAAATATCAAAACAACTCTTTTTTTTTCAGATTTCTTGATTCCGTTTAGAACAAAGATACAATAATAAATTGGTATCTTTTTTTTGTATATAATACCATTGATGTTCACAAAAATTTCCTTCGTATATATATATATATATATATATATATATATACGAATATTTTACATTAAATATATTAATAATACAAATATTTTACAATTTCCTTTATTTGCTGTTTTGATCAAGGAGATTATAAAATATAGGGAGTGCGCACTTCATACTAGAGAAACGTTCCTTAATCAGTGACCTTGAAATGAATGAAAGGCACTGAGTTACGCGTTCCATTTCTTTCTAATAAAGTATCCATTATATAATATTTTGAGGATATACAGCATTACGGAAAACAAAATGCGTATTTTTTTTCCTGAATGTGCTGAATAGTGTTATAATTAAACTCCGTTTAATATTTTCAGTATCAAACCTTACGGTAACTAGTAGCAGCGCAGCGTGGGTTGACACCAAGGGCAGTTTTCTATCAAGCACCCCCCAAAATAAAACAAAAAACGTAGTACATAGTAGAAGTAGCACAGACTTTAAATTTAAGAATAGATAAAAAATAAATTTTATAATAAAAAAAATATTTCAGATTTCCTAATGAGCAAGGAACTAGAAGCAAATGGATTCAAGCATTGCATACTACTAAAAAATTATCAAAATATATATTATAATGTTTGCAGTCTTCATTTCAAAAGGAAGACTTAATAAAAGATAAATGTTATCAACA